TTACGTCCGTCCAGGGACGGCCCGGCTGCACTGCGCTACTCCGTATTGCAGCGCTGCTGAAAGGAGAGTGCTGCGGCACTGCCTCGGCAGGGTAGTATAGAAATTACCCGCCCACAAATATGCGTATGCTTCCGAAAGGTTAAGTTAAAAGAAAGTGAAGGGCTAACCTTAAGGCCGTTGGCACTTAGAGGCAGTGCATGAGCACGCAGCCTTCAGTTCATTGCTCACACACTTGGTTGTTTTGTTTTGTTTTTAAACGACCCTTAACGACTCGGTGAGGCAGTGAGACGCTCATGTCTTACCTCTCACTGAGTAGAAAACTGAGTAAGAGATCTTGAAAGATCGCATACTAAGACATGGAAATGTTTGAAATTTCAAGCAGTTAAAAACAAGAATTATTTCTTTAGACCCTCCTGCCCCTCTCTTAGCAGTATTTTACAGTATAAATATATTTTACATATTTACATATAGAAGAAATGTGTATGGTAGCTTAAAGCAGCCCAAAGCCATAAGCTTTGTATGTCATCCCAAAGGCTTTTACCCAGTAGGAGCACCAAGTTGTAATTCAGCTGATCTGTTCCAATTCTGGTCTGAGGAGCAATTCCTTTAGGAGTACCCATTTGTCACATTGAAGTACATAGACCACCATTGGTTCAGAATAAAACAACATTCTCTCTCATACAGGCACACTAATCTTCTTTTAACTCTCATGCAGCTGTAAACTGATAATATCTAAAGAAAGGCATCTCATACAGAAAGACAAAGTTTCATCTGAGGACATTTTGACCCTAGAAAGTTTCAGGTTTTTTTTTCCCCCTACTTACATTAGTCTAAAATAAAAGGTAGTATTTGGCTTTGCAAATCTTTCCTTAGACTACACAGCTTCCATCACTACTGCTATTCACAGCTGTAAAACAAACAGCATTAAAGTTCAAAATATTTTTGAATACGTGAATGCCCAAGTATAACCTCTGATCCATAAAACTAGATCTGCAAAGAAATCCATAGGGAAAAACAAAAGAGACATTGTTTTCCACTTCTGCCTGCTAAACAATGGAATGTACGCTGCAGCCAGAACAGGCCAGTCCCACAAGAACCAGCCCATTATACCACATACCTTCACTCCAAACTCAAGAAGGTACAAACCTCCCCTTTGTTACCATGCGGTGTAAAAGCCTCCAGGCAGGGAGATATTACGTCAGCAAGCCCATATTTATTTCCAAGTCCAACTCATTTCTTTACGTCTGAGTTTACAAAACAGAAACACTTTACATAAAGCACACCAATTATTTCATGATTCATCCAGCATTCTCCCAAGGACAGAGACAGTTTAAATGAGTTCCTCTTAATTCTAATTCTTAATCCTCCCAGAATCTTTTGTGTCAATACAACCATTTGGACAGTTAGATACCTTGCAACTGCTAGATCAAAGAGTAAGACTGCCTCTGCCCCACAAAAAAGGTTGTCTAGTTGTTTTGGTTTGTTTTTACCACCAGATCTTCAGTCTCACACAGCTCCCCATCTATGCATGCAAATGTTCCTATCAACACCCAAAAGAGAAATACTTAACCAAGAACTGGAGAGAGACAGGAAATGCATCTACCAATTTACATCCTGCTAGGTCAAACTTAAAACTGCATTCACTTTCAAATGCCTTCACAAAGAGAAAGTGCACTTCTTTTTTTCCCCTGAGAAAGACTGTTGTTTACCTTTCTATATTTGTGTTGCTTTTTTTTTTTTTTTCCTTTTACAATTTTTAATGGTAATCACATGAAAAAACACCATGGACTGTGAAAAACACTGACTAATGTGTAGAGAGAAAAAAACAACTCAGTTTTCTTCTTTTCCACGGGTTATCAAGCTCAAACCTGCTCAAGTCACTGTCTCCCAAATACCTGCATTCACCTTACTTAGAAATAAACTTGAAGACTCATGTCAGGCACCACAATCACAAATCACTACGTGTTTTTGAAGTCAGAGAGGGGAAGAGAACTGCATTGAAAATACGAACATTAACTGAACATTAGCTGAACTTGCTAAATGTTAACAAAGCAAATTAAGTATCAGCAAATCACTTTACAGGGCATTGTAAGAGATGAGAAATTGTCAACCAAGAAACCCAGCAATCACAGTTCTAAATCATTCACAGATATGAAAAGGTAACTAATACCCAACTTAATACAATAATGCTTCTGAAAAAAAAATTCATTTTCAAACCTGCAACAAAGCATTTTAACTGTGTGTTATTCTTGTACATACCGTACTCTGTCAACAGGACACTACTGATCAGGGATAAAAGAGGACCTCAGGTGGCAGAAAGCAGCAGCTGCAGATTATATAACTGCTTTCAAGACACTCCTCAAGTAACTCAGCCCACATTAAGCGACTATGTCCCATGAAATCATGCTATGCTCCTTGCTACTTACTCCACAGATGTATGATTTTGACCCTAAGGGCCCTCCTGTTACACCATGCAAACAAATGTGATATTCATTTCTTCAGGGCAGTTAACACCTCATATTTAATATCCTCAAATTGGATTTCTAGTTCCCTTCAACTTCAGTTTGAGATTCTTAAAATGATCTACTTAACTAGTAATTAGAATGTTTAAGCAGCCAAGATTCAGAGAACAGCTCTGAATTTCTGCCTGAACCCTGGAGGCACCTCAAATCAACCAGCACCTCTGTCTGTGACCACAAAGGTCCCTTCCTTTAAGAGGCCTGAATGTTTTCCGCATCTGTTTCAGTGAGCTGCACCTGCCCACTATAGCAGAACCAAACTCATTTGTTTTACTAACAGCAAGTCCAGCTGAAAACTGAAGGGTGCTCACAACTTTGTTTTAGGAAGCTTGTAGCTGCAACGCCCCTGAAAATAGAAAATATAAATTTCAGATCCTTCCTAGCCCAAGAGGTCTGAGCTGATCGCCCAGGTCTCAGGGTGCTCTGTCACAATCCCTGGACTACTGCTTCTGAAGCTGAGCTTGCTGTACACACATTAACATCAAGGGCCCAAAGTGGAAATGTACGTAAGAGGAGTATGGAGCCTCCACTCTGCTGAAGAATCCAGTACAGTTCCACTCAGAATTTTCTCTCTCACACATTAGAGACCTTCTTTCTTATTCTGAGATACAGTTAGGCTTCTGACAAAACACCTCTTCCTGTATATCCCTAGAAACTTTAACCTACACAGAATGTCAGGGAGGATGGAATTAGAAGTACTACCAAACACACTGTTTGGAAATCATAGAATGGCCTGGGTTGAAAAGGACCACAATGACAATCTAGTTTCAGCCCCCCTGCTACGTGCAGGGTCACCAACCACCAGACCAGGCTGCCCAGAGCCACATCCAGCCTGGCCTTGAATGCCTCCAGGGATGGGGCATCCACAACCTCCTTGGACAACCTGCTCCCAGAGCTTTTGCTGACAGGAAGAAAAAAAAAAAAAATCAAGTATTTAGAAAATAAAACATGATTTTATACGCTATCTCTGAAGATACAGTTGAAGACACCCACATACATTTTATTTCGTAACATACTACCTTATGAAAGCTGAGCTGAAAAGAGTATGATTAGAAAACAGCAAGATCAGTCACATGCCCCTGCAGCAGGACCTGTTCTAGCACATTTCTTTCATAGTTTGAAGCATTGATTGCAACTAAGAAACGTGTTCCACATTTTTCTAAACTAATCAGATGAAGGGGATTAGAACAACACAAAGTTTCAAGGACAAATCAAGTATAGCTTTAGCTTCCCAATTCTAAATGCAGAGTAGAAGCGCTACAGCTCATGGTCACTGTTTCTCTCTGTCATTCTGAGATAATAATCCAGCTGTTGATATATAACTGATACACATCACATTTGCATACAGCATGATATTTAGACATTGTGAGGTACGTAAGCATTACATTGCATAAACTGCTCAAAGGAACAGAGTATTTACACCTGAGGTTTTAAGCATGAAGATCTCTAATAAAGAAAATGTTTCTAAATCCTGAGAAAAGCCATTCAAATATGTACACAGACTTTGACTATCACACACAGAGATGACATATAGTCTGATCTGCTATGACAAATCATGCTTTGGAGTCTGGCTTTATGAAAAATGCCCTCATTCTGTTTTTAATAGTTTAAAAAAAAGGAGTTTCAAGCTTTTATGAGTACAATTTCCTTCATCTCACATGAATAAACTGTTCATATTACAAAGTATCTGTAGAGTCAGACTGTGGAAAATAACAAGTAATGTGGTAAGCTAATGTTATGTTTTGTACAGGCTGTGGAAAGGCAAACCTGTGTCTGGACATGAGTCAGAGCTAGCATCAGAGCACACTGCAGAGAAGTGAGCATACTCTGTACTACTGTGCAATGTTGGTGCCAGTGCCTCATGAAGGCTGTGAGAAGGGACAGGCTGCTGACATTTGCAGATGAAAACTACTGTAAGCACAGGGAAAAGCAGTTGCAACACACTTGTCTCCCTTCACAGAAACTGCATTACGGTAACTTCCATGCTGTGTTCACAAATGTCATGGAACAATAGCTATTCAGAGGTACCTCGTGCACTTTGTAAAAACACTGCAGCGTCTAATATCTTGTTAAAGTCTGTAAGAATAACAGTTTTTATCAATACTGTATCAGTCATCTGGAAATTGTCTTAAAACTGCATTTTTTTTTTTAAGAATATAACGTGGAATGAAAGAAGATAGAAGTGAAAAACGTGCACACATTCAAACACAGTTTTTGCATGTCTCCTAATTAAAAATAGTCTCATTTCTGTTTTGGAAAAAAAAAAAAAGAAAAGAAAAGGCAGCCAAGTTTGTTATTGCAATAGCAACAGAGTGCAGCATGTATCAATAGATTTTCTCCACTCCCACATTATTTTGCTTTGTCACCAAAAAAGCGTGGAAGTTTGCTGCAACTCCTTGCTTATGACTGTTCCAAGGAGCTATCAAGAGAGGAAAGGTGTCATATCTTAACACTGAAGAAAAGGATAGATCCATTAAACACTGAAACAGTACAACATATGATACGTTTAATAAAATTGAGTAAATTATTGCCAAAGCAAGTTCCCATTTTTGCTTTCATGCATACAAAACAGATACCTGGCTCAAGAGGATTCCAGTTTATCAAAATATATGCAATTTCCCTCTCACAGCAATGATAAATCAAAAGAGCCACCAACTATTACACAGACGTTCACAGTGCTATTCAGCATGGGACTCCTCATCCTTAAGCAGTGTATTCTTTGTGGCTGCCAGTTCAGTAGCAAACAACAAAACTTTCTTGTTGGTCCCCATGATACATTATTTTCTCACTCTAATTCGTTTGTTTAAAATATTTAGGGGTGCTCATATGAAAGTGATGAATACTCTCATCATAATTATGTCCGTCTTTATAAGATCCAAACCTGAGAAAAAATATTCCATAAGGCAAAAACATTACAACAAAATTTAATTCATGCAATTAAATCATACACTTCTGTAGTATAGTTAATATTTCTTCTTAATGTTCTAGACAGTTGATTTCAGAAACAGGCCTCTATCCAGCTTACACATAAATCACAACCTAAGTCAGCTACCTACTTAGAGGTCTGTGAGGACGGAGACATTTAATTATACTGATTGGATTAATGCCATGGGCACTCTATAAATGGAACACCAACTGACCATGGTGAGAGATACTTTTATACAGTAAAATCCTATGCTCTTTCCCACTGACTTCAGTTGGGATATTATTTCACTCTCCACTGTATGCAAATACTGAGCTCTACTGTTAATATCGCAGATCTCTCAAAAATTATGTCAACACCTGTTTACATTCTGTTTAAGCCTCAAGATTTTGATTATTGCCTATGAGGCAGACAGATTTGAAAAAAGAAAAATACAATGCTAAATAAAAGAAATAGTTGCAATACACTTCAAAAGAAGCGCAATTAATGGGAAAAAGTTAGACCAATTCCTAAATGCTATCGTTTTTTTGGTTTTGTTTTGTTTTCCTGCTTATAGGCAGATGTAAAGGAACTAGACAAAAAGTCTCAACTGAAATCAATATGAAAAGTCTGAAATCGTAGTTCTAACCTTGAGCAAGTTTCATCTAGGCAAATCTCTGCTTAGACAGGAAGCCAGTGATTGAGATATAAACAAAAAAAGTACACCTACTTTAACTGTAGGTGTATATAAAACACGTATCTCCACATGTATTCTGTACTGTGTAAATTACAAATAAGTTAACTTAGTAAGCTTGGCATTCCTGGAAATTGTTCCTCTGTGGCAAGACATTTCTCAAACCTCATGATTCTCCACTGATACTCAATCTAAAATAAACACCCTTCTCCCTATTTCTCTTGGTCATGCAATGCCAAAAGAAAAAAAAAAAAAAAAACAGCAATCAAGAAATAATTTCTCATGTTAAAGTCTTGTCCTTTTTACCTCCTGACACATGTAACAAACTGCATCAGATATCCTCCTTGACATTTGCTCAAGTTACATAATGTATTTTAAAATACTTATACAAAGTGCATTTAACACAGATACTGTATTTTGTGTTCTACCTAACTGTGTGTTAAGATCCTGATACTCAGAGAGCTGAGAAACATAAGAGATTTGCCATCTATAAAATGAATTACCACATCACTTGGCAAACATCCTTATCAAATAATCTCAGAGGTTAATCACCTGGGTGAAATAACCATTACCTTCAATTTATGGTGCAACACGGCAGGCTGATTTTCCCAAGGCACATGCCAAGTCAGTGAAAAAAAGTGGAATCAGAATTCAGAATTTATTGCCTCTTTACCTTCTGCTTGATTTGGTACTGACCACCTTAAGAACAAGCTTTTTCATAGACATTGTGTATATCATCTCCTTAATTTTTTTATAAGATATGATACTGACCTGGGATTGAAATGGATGTCTTCAGGAACTTGGCTGGGATCAATGACAACTCTGTCATTGTCAACATAGTTATCTAAGTTATCTGGGATTCTAAATTTCGCCATTTGGACTTCTGAGTCGCTTAAACCAGCATGAGATATGCGGGCATAGCCCAACCTATCAGATACAAGAAGAGTTAGCTTGAAGAAATAACTCAAGGCAGCTTCATCACACTCTTAATTTATGTTCCTTTTTTTTTTTTTTTTTTTCCTCCCAGGAGACATTTAACCTACCAATACAGTTTGTCATTTCTGACTGTCACCTTAAAAATCTTGAAGTGCACTGTGAATATGAGCATCATTACTCGATGTCACAAGCAGAAAAAAACGAGACATGAACCTATGCTTGACAACAAAAATAAATTAAGTTTCTAGATCTGGGATTTAAGTTTAAAGTTACAGTTTTAGTATATGCATACTGGTGTAAGCTCACCAATGTCACTGAAGAGATTCTGAAATTCAAGAAGGGAACTCAGGTATCAGTGGCATGAATAACTAGAAAAATGAGATTGCAAATGGTGGGGTATTTTTACTCAGTACACTTACTTATAACAGGTATCTAGTTTACTGGGTATGCTTTTATTACCACTGCAGAATTTGCAGTTATTTTGGAATAAGCTGAATTTCATTCTGGCACAAACATCAGCAAAAGAAAGATTTATGAGCAATTTGGTATTACAAAATATGGAGTGCATACATCCCAGGCGGAGGAAAATACTTCAGTATGGGCTTTACACTGTTAAAATTTCCACTAAATCCAGCATAAAGCTTGGCTGGATTAGATCAGCATTTTATTTGAACATATCCTACAATCATAGCTCATAATTTATATCTTCTGTGTCACATACAAATTAGGGCTTAGCCTTCACATTTTAGAATGAAGCTGCAAAGCCAGAGCTTCGATCCTGGAGAAAAGTGCTCTTATATTAACAAACCAGATTAGATCTGATGGTTTTTGACATAGAAGGATGAAACTCCTAACACTGCCTTTGCTAATTATATTTAGAAATACACCAATTCTTCTCAAATTTGATGTTTAATATTACTTCATTGCATACTTAACTGCTCATACACATCTGTTAAGGAATGTAAGAATCTCATACAATTAGCTACAGAAAAGTGTAAAATCTTTTGTCAGAAGTTGAATTTAATACACCTCTTCTTTAACATACCTTATTATTCCACGATACATAATATAGCTACACCACCTGTCACGATCTGTACTGTCAATATCCTATGGGCAAGAGAAAAAAAAAAACAAAAAATCAAACAAGGCAAACCTTCCTTATGACTAGGCTTCAAATCAGTAACAGAACCAATGCAACCAGTGTATAAACCTGCCGCAGAGAAATGTTTTGCCTAAGACATGACTGCAAGGCAGAAAGGGGAAAACAAACACAGTGTCTTTTTGACAAAGTGCAAAACTTAAATTTAAAACAAAATAATCATATAATTTAACATTAGAAGGGGCCTGTGGAGCTCACTCACTTTCAACCCCATGTACAAAGTACTTATAAGTGTGTTGCTCAGTGATTCCACAGCCACGTTTTTAATATCTACGGGGATCACTCTGGGACTCTCAGACTTCAAAATCCTCATTGCAATTTGTTCTTCTGCTAACTATTTGGCATTTCCCTTGTGGCAACTGATGTACTCTGATTGCCTCATCCACTCCATCTACTCTACACATTTCATTAGGTAGCTAAAGACTCTGAAAATGTACATCTCTCTTTGTATGTCTAAGTTACCCATTTACAATCCTGAATTTAATGTTTCAAATACTTATTATCTCTAACTGTTAAAGGAAGCACTGTTTTTACATTACCTGGACATTTCCATTTTCTATTAATTCAGTATAGTCTCTGGATCCAGGAGCTGAAGTGATATATCCTAGAAATACAACTTGCTTAGAGCTTGTCTTCAACAACTTTGAAACAGCTATAGCCTGAAGTTTTCTGTCCAAGTCCTCTCTGAAAGAAGTAGAAAATAATTTAATATACGTTTATTTTAGCTCAGATTCTTTCTGCTATATGACAGTAAAACAGAAATGAGGCTGACGCCTTTTTATTTATTCCTCAGCAAAATGGGCACAGTGTTGAATAAAAGCCACATGGTAGTGGTAGACGTAATCAGGGTTCTCTGCCCAGTTATTATATGAGCAACAAATTTCTAAACCAGAAGTTTTGGTTTTAATACCTATCTCATTACTAGGCGATGTGAGAGTAATTGCCTCTGGTTACCTGAGGCTTTGTCTCTGCCCGCACTTGAAATTTAATTGCGCTACCACAGGCTGTCTGGTGTATAATAGGGACTTGACATGCCAACAAAACCTTTTATACTCTTATGATGGACAAATCATAGCAAAAAGTAGTCTTAAAGTCTGGGTCACATGGTTTATGAAATGTGATTTAAGACCTATGTCATCCCATCAGCATTTACAACATTTGCCAAGTATTCTCCACCTTTTTAACAGATTTACGCAATAGTTCCAACATGACCAAAAGTAATAGTGTAAGTACAGCCTGGTAAAATACTGCCTTGGAAAGCTGCCCTCGTCCTTGTAATAATACCCAAGGCACTTCTCTTCCACTGATTCTTCAAATTAATCACTTTAAACACTTGGTAAATTGGGCTACAGACCACTGATTTTAGAATTTGTAATCCCAAAATAAGATAGGAATTGAAACGCTGCTGTGCTTTCTGAATAGTAGTAATTCTGACTGGAGCAAATGCATTAGGGACAAGGAGCAGACAGAGAGAAGGTGAAGACTATTTAAATAGCAGCCTGACCTAGATATATGAAAAGTTGCCAGCTCACTCAACAGCTCCTTCTAGAAATACACTTCTCAAGAAGTTGGGTTCTTTTAAAGAACACCATTATAGAAATAGTCTTTAAAAATCCCTAGTTGTTCAGTCTCTTAATGCTGATTAGGATGGCACAAACTAATAGATGAAAAAAAGCAGCTGTGCCTGCCATTAATTATGAAATTCACTAATCTCAAAACATAATCTAATTTGTACTTGTTTCTCATGTGTCTCCCCCTATTTTCCTCTTCATCTTTATCTCAGGTCTCTGTGGGGAAGAGCTATTTTCTTCTACTTTCACAGTTTCTCAGAGAGGCAATCATCCGTGTGAGACACAGAAGGGAATTTCTTTCCGGGAGCAGTTTCTGACATACATGCTTAGTAAAAGGGAAATCCGTAAACACACTTGCAGCACAGCTTCTACAATGGGGAAAGGGAAGAAGCTCAATACAGGACAACGGGAGCTCCTACTGCTTTCTGAGCAGCTTCTTTGTGTCGTATAGTCTGTAGCCAATTCACAAATTTATGTTTTCAAAAATTAAAACAAATATTAAGGAATTAACAGAAACAATCTTAGATACTGCCACAAATAGAAAACGCAACAGCATAGAGCATCACAAAAATATCCCTCATTAATATTCACCACATTCAAAAAAGAATACATACTCTTCGTTTCCAAAGTGTGCAACAACAAAATCAACCAGTCTCCCTGTGAAGTTGACAGTCATGGAGATGGCAGGTGCAATCTCTCCCTCTGGAGAAGGGAGAAGGTGATGGGTAGATTTTACAATTGGATATCTTGACAGTGCCATAATCCTGTATGAAAAGATGGAAAGAGTTAAGCTTGCTAGTTTCCTTGCATTGCTAATCTGAACAAAGCAGATAAATGTGACCAGACGTCTAATGGTCCCTAAACTCAAGTATTAGATCAGAATTTATACCATTTCTAGTGGATATTTCTGAACTTCCACATCTGTAAAACACAACTTAAGCATGAGTCTAAAAATGCTTACTAAATTCATTCACAATCCAAAGTTGGTAACAAAGGTATATGAGTAGTTTATAAATAATGCAGAAAGAAGAAGAAAAAGATATACATAAGCTCAGACATCTTTATAGATGAGCTGCGAATGGAGCAGAAAGGAATGTTGCTTTGGTATCTCAGAGGAGCACATATTCAAGCCCAGACTGTCAACAACCAAGGACACACATCCATCTACAAAAGAATGGTGGTCTTCTGATAGGTGTATTTATAACGTAGATGAATTCTTACTTTGAAGCCCTTCAAAATTCACATTCCCAGGCAAAACAAAATAGTTTTATACTACCAGTAATTTAAAAGCATTTTATTTAAAGCAGAAGCAGGTGGAAATACATCTTTAAAGCAGGAGATTTCTCATTCTTTCAGCCTCTGATTAGAATCAACCTTAAAGCCATTCTGCATTAGGTGTTTCAAAATAGGTAATGAAGAAAATTTCAGAGTTACCTGTCTGTCCCATTTTGCATCATTTAAAGGCACAGGCTTTGAGAGAAAAAAGTTTCTGAATTCCCTGCACATACAAGGAAATTTAAATAACCGCTGCAACAACACTAGAAGTTCCACCTGCCATACAGATCCGTAAATCATTGAAACAGAAAAGCACACATCATAAGACACTATTTTTCAGACTGCAGAGATGTTCAAAGACATCCAACTGGTAACTGTTCAAGCATTAACATAAAAATAGACACAAAAAGTTCTGAGCAAATACACACGTGCTCATTTCCCAACTATGCAACCCAACCTGAATTTAATAAACTCAGTGTTTCTAATTACAGTTACATTTTCCAATTACTATCACATTTTTAAGTCTGAAATCTAAAGTTGTAAATGAGAAAGGCCGATCTGATATTTGAAATGTCATACTGCCAAATCTGTACATAAAGGCGCAGGATGCCATTCTCTGCATCACCAATACTGAAGTAGCTTGCAGGTACAGGCATCAAGAATGGGTTGCTGTTAATCTGCATTGCATTGCATTGCATCTGCATTGCATTGTACTGCTTGTGAATCAGCACATGCTCTTGAAGTCAAGCTCCAGCAAGCAACTGTTTTCATAATTATTCCAATTATTCTTTGTCTGTGTTTCGGTGGAGTATTTCCACTTATTTACTTTCCCCATGCACGTAAAGATGACTCACCCCCAAGTGTGATCCCTCGTACTTGGACCAAAATCTGTGTAAAATCCTAGTCTTTCTCCTAGCCACATTGTTGGGTCATTGTTTCCAATGAATGGTTTAGAGGCATCACTTTCCAGAACAGTGATAAAATCTGCACCTAAAATGGGAAAGAAAGAACTAGTAACTGTGATTTGTAAACATCATTTATATGATTACAGAACATAGTTATTTTACTTTTGATTACACGTGGATGGACACAAGTTCTTCAGGAGTCAATCAGGGCCAGTCCTACACTGGTAACAAACTGATGCCCAAACTTTTGGTCACCACAGGCTACAAAGCCTCCAATGGAGACATACTCATGCCTGGATGCCATAGCTCCTCCCTGCCACATGGGCAGGCACACATTAGACTGTGCTGTACACCTGGCCTGCGCATACATAATGTGATGCATTTCAAAAGCATAAGGCATTCATTGTGTACACAGATAAATAACACAGCACCAAACCTACTGCTTTCAACTTAATTAATGTGTGCTTGCTACACAGTACATCTGCACTTACCTCATCTACCAAATCCAATTCCTCTCCAAAGGGTCTTACGCAAGAGGAAGCAGGCTGCTGCTGTCCAAATAATTCATTAGCCTACAGCAATTTCCATCTGCCAACAAGCATAGTGATAGAAGGGTTCCCAGTCCCATTTCCCACAGAAACCTCCCCTTTCCAGGGCACCACAGGCCTACTATATTAACATGTTGAGGAGTAATTTTGTCACATAACAAGTCCTCCTGCAGTTTTGGCGACAACAAACAGGAAGAGCTACCTGGTTCCTAAGGGAAGTAGCCGCTAGGAAAGGCCCGCCCATGCTCAAAGGAAGGTTATTTATTATTTCATTTATGCAAAGGCTTTTTCTATAGATAAGTGACTTTTCAGCAATACAAGAGAAAAAATGATATTGATGATCACAAATATTATTTCCTCCAAACAAAAACCCCTTTAATATCTAAGGAAAAATAACCATCTCTGCAAATGGATTTTTAACTGAAGTGATTGTAGTGGAACAGCTCACAAATTCCAGAAAAGACAATAGATCTTATGTTAAAGCAAGAAAAGACTTAGCAGACATTCCTGCTTCTTTCTCTTTCTCCATATGAAGCCTCTCAAATATAAATGAAGTGGGGAAAAAAGTTACCTGTCTGATTAAGTAAAGTAGCAGATCCCTCCAAATTGGACCACCCTTCATTGTCATATGCAAACCTAAAAGGCCAGATCATAGCAGAGAAATCTCTTTTTGGAACCTCAAAAACAAGATAGAAAAAGAGTCACATTCTACATACTATACCTTTGCATTCAACATCAGATACACAGTGCTGTAAGAGACACCCAGTGGAAATAATTTAACCAGTATGTTTTCCTAAGAAAGCTTTCAGAATCACAAAGCCTTTAGGTATTTTTGGAAGAATCAGCAGTATTATCTGGAGGCAAAAAGTCACTGTAGTTCAAATGAATTTGCAACAATTATAGTAAATACATGAATATGAAAAAGACAAAGAATATTTTTTATCTTTCTAAGAGTAACTAGCTATTTTCTGTACTACACGTCTCAACAAGTTCTAAAAAGAAAGCCAACTGTATATGCATATGCACACACATACTTTCTACTCAGTACTCAATATTTTCTGTATCTTTTCCTGCTTTTGCCATCAGTGTTCTCCCTAGGACAAAATTCACCGACCAGAGAAACATGTCAAGAGCAAGTTTCAGATGGCTATGTCAGGATCAAAGAAAAAAGAAAGCAAGTTTAAGTCATAATTGCAACCATTTGCATCAGAAGTTTAAATTTAGAGGAGTAATCAAGTCACAGATTTATATATGTACTGATATAAAGACTTAAGTCTGAGTTATCAGCTACACATTTCACTGTATATTTGAAAATGACCGCTTTCATACACACACTACTCACCCCTCGGCCCAACTTCTTCTCATAAGTCCTATAACGTAGACCCAATCCTAGCAAACCAACACCAACAAACAGCCACAATACTTGAAACAGAAACACAGAAAAGCTGTTTTTAAAGCAGGAAATAATGCTACTGCAGTTAAACAGAATTGGGTATACTGTCATTCTAAGGTCTGCTACACATACAATGGGGAATTGACGTATTTATATTGCCACATTTGCCAGAAATAACACAATTTCAAAGCAGTGTGTTTAATATCTGTATGCATACAGATACACTCCCATTCTCCAAAAGAAAACAGGCTGAGCAGACACATACACCAACACTCCTTGTAATATTCATGTAAAAAAATATACTTACTGAAGAAGAATACATTACAACACATAAGTAAACATCACATAAACTTCCTCTCCACGCTCCAGATACACATTTGTAGCATGCAATCTTTATTTTGTATTAACATAATGTGTGGAAGAAAACTTAGTTTACTTCTCAAGTCTCCAGATGAGAAAAAGATGTGATCCCTGCCTGACTTTCAGAGTAGTCCTTGTTTAAGTGCACACACTGACAGGTGCTTGGACAAGTACTGCAACTTCACAGAATGCAAATTCAGAGCTCACATAGCCCCCCACATATCCACAATGAACACTTACAAGTTGTCAGGGTTTGGCACATTGTAATTTGATTATCAAATCCCTCTGTGGTTATTTTATTTATACAGTGGCATCCACAATCTACAATGACTTTGGTAATCAATTGCAAGTCCTTCCTCATTGTACTCAGACTTGTATAATCTCTCATCTGATCCTGTAAGCATCTTTGCATCTTATGAAGTTGCTTAACGTTTGCTAACATTAGGAGTACATTCTTTCTTCTGACATCATCTTCCACAATAAAATTTGTATAAATCTTCCATAAATTTTTTTCCAGAAAGCTTGCATGAAAATAATTACATGCAATTAAATACATAGAGGCCTCCTTCTCTTGTACCAAAATGAAACCACAAATGATACCAAATCCTTGTTTACATTTTCTTTTGTCCCCATTTGGTCATCATTTAATATATTCTAAGAGGTAGCATAGCCTCTCTCACCACCATGATCATAGTGAATCAGCTTCTACGTTAGTGTATACCTTAATCAAAACAGGAGCTAGGGCAATACTGGCAATACCAACTACAGGCCTGGCTCTAGAACTAGCACCAAAAAACACTTCTGAAACATCTGAGCAAAACATTGCACTACATTATGCTTTGTCCTCAGAAAGCATCTTACAGTCATAGAAGAAATGAAGTAAAATTATACTTACGTAGTTTAATGTATTTTGTACTCATCTTAAAAAATGACTTTTGGTTGCTTTTCACTTCAAAGATGGAGTTCAGATCTTTCTTGGATCCTGTTAGAAAGTCTAGCCCAATGCATAACATAATAAACCCTGTAAAAACAGTTTATTAGCTTTTTTGTAGAGCTCTAACTTATTAAACATTGCTCATAAATGCATCATTAGTAAACTTCCAGCTACTGTGCAACATTCAAGCTTACAAATCCAACAGCAAAGACAATTCAGTCAGAGCACAAACAGATAAATGCCATAGCAAATGCAGTGATGCAGGCAACATGAGATTAATTAAAGGAGACTATCCTACTTATCACTGTGAGAGTAGTCACCTTAACTGCCTGCAAGGTCTTGTAGGCATACTGCAAAGCAGTAATAGTTTTAATTTACATTGATGACACAGACATTGCTCCCTTTAAAATCAGTTTGTGACATTAAGCACGACACTGATAAGTATTTCAAAATAATTATTTCCAAACAGTAGTACTGCATTTAGAATTCAAAGCCAAAAGATTATTTGAACCCTGAATACACTTTCCACAGAAAAATAATGACAAAAAGATTGTGAAGCTCAAAACTATAATATTTGTTGGGTATTTTTTCAAATAAGTTGCACCTAAGCTTTAATACATGCGAATCAGAGGGATGAACAAACAAATGGGACCTGAGAGACAGACAGCATGCTGCAAACCTATTAAGCCTGCTGATAGCTTTAAGTCTGTTCTAAGTTAACAAAAATACCTAGCCAAAGCCCCTTTCATATCATGAACTCTGTCTTCACTACAGTGAGCTCCAAAACACAGACCATTTTGGGGTTTTTCAGGAGGAGAGCAAGGGGGGCTGCTGACACTGATGCAGCTCAGAACTGTTCTTGTTCTTCCCTTGCTACCCACCAAGATCACAACATCACCAGGTAACATTTTGGTCCCCAGCATTAGACTGCACTGGGTGCAAACTACAAGCTTCAGAGCCTGTCTCATTATTCACTATGGAAACACAGATATTTTAACTCAGCTGGTACTGGTGGGTACCACTGTGGAACATTCTATCAGTCAATGAAATACTTGTTCAAAGCCACATTTCCCCTTCCTCTGTTCATGAATCAGCAGGGATGAACAACATAAAACAATGAACAAACAGGGATGAACAAAATCAAAGGATTTTAATCCTTTGATCTGGAGCAAAGCCATTTCAACAGACCTCTCCACTTCTGTGTATCCTAACACCTACTTCCATAGCTCCCCAAGCACACTCAAGCCAAGATTGACCTTTGTAGCACTGCAGTACCGTTGTAGGGTCAAAAAGGCTTGTACAGGGTGGATTCTGTATGCTAAATACTTCCAGGCTCCCAGTGACAGCTACAACTCTCACATCAGCTCAGTGCTATCAAAGCTTACCAGAATTAACCTGAACAAGAACAATTAAGTTACATTACATGTTATAGATTCTTAACATACGAGCTTGATGAAAAATTACACTGCTGATTTTAGATGTCTGTTAAACTGCAAATGAAGTGCTTCGTCACCAAGATACAATTAACATGTTTCTATATAGGAACTCCAAGAGCAATTGCTCAACAATAATCCATAAACAGTGTAAGCAGACTGCAGCACGATGAGAAGTAACTGCTGCAATATGTTTTCCTTTGGATAGGTACTGCAGATTAAAATAACAAGCTCTTATCTCATCCCTTAGGAGCTTTAGTGTCCCATTATCTGCAAAGAAAATGTGGGAGCGTAATGAACAGGGTAAGAGTTCTGCTGGTGGAAGCACGTCTTCAATATCTTTGTGTCGTAGTTAATTAACTGCAGAATTCATTTTTATTTCACAGTTATAGCTAAAGATAAAATAACTGTTACTCATAATTTTCTTATGGGTCCTACATGCTACATTAGGTGTAAAAGTTGGCAAACAAAGATGGGTGTAGTGTAATACAGAAGTGGGTACACACAAAACCCTTCTCAAAGGGAGCATACTTCAAAGCCATTAAAATTGATGGGCGACCAGAGATTTGACCCCCTAGCATTATGTTACATCACAGTGAAGTAGCACAGAAGTTTTGAATATAATGATCTTACTTTCATTGTCACTTCCCCCAGTGCTGTTCCCTACCCAAAACACGGCAAGAGAAAGGCAGGATATTGGACAGGAGGAGAAAGCAAGAAATAGCACTTGCACCTGAAAGAAACCAGAATTAAAAAAAGTAGTTTGCCAGAAAGCCAGGCTGTAAAGGAAGCACAGCAATAAATACATAGCCTCATAATATAACTTGTACGTCTTTGATAAGCAATGGAATGGCATCAGAAAGCCAAGAATTGCATTTTCACATCACCTGCTATCACCTGACACAGGTTAAGTTCACAACTTTGTTTTTGCCAGAGAGAAAGTTATGATCAGCTCTGTGTTTCTATTCAGTGATCCTGCCGGGTGAATCAATCACAAGAGTATATCAAAGGAAGTGATAGAGAGGGATTCTATATAATAGCTTTTCTTTTCTCAAAGCATTATCCAAAAAAAGCATTTAATACTTCCCCACCATGTGCTTTCTTCCAATAACTCCAAAAAATAAAATTAAATGTACTGGGGTAACAATTTCTGGAGGTCCACTGGATTGCTTACAGAACAAACTACAGTAAATATAATGTAACCCTCCTCAAAATATAACAAAGCAAAATCCTGAGTGATTGCTGAAATATGTAAAGCTCTGTATACAAACTAAGAAACTAGACTGGAGGAAAGTGGCTGAAAGGCATTTCTGAAATTTGAAACCACTGAAGCAACAAGTCAAGCATGGCATTCATTAATCCTTTTGAAGGACAATATAGGATAATGTGTCACATTTTCATATGCACCACACAATTAGCCCAAGTTAATGCTTAGCACTCCTTAAGTGTTATTAGTGAAATATACTATTGAAACACATTAATACCTACTAAGAAAATTATTTCAGAGACAAAACTAGAAAGGGCTGGTTTCATTTCCACCTCCTCACCTATCAATGGATCATTTTGCTAAACCCTTTATATTTGCTCACCTCAATTCTTCCTCATTGGCAAATATCTGACAATTTCTTTTCTTCTCCCATCCCTCTTCTGTACGCATATTTCTGACACTGCAGGCTTATCAACATTCCTCCAAACATGCTGGTATGTCCACAAAATGTAAGGTACAATTATGTGGAAATGAAGCTCAGGTCTCAAGTGCAGACTAGCTAGATGAGCAGGATGCTGCACTTTGGTCCTCGGAGCAGAACTAAATAATGTGTTGAATTACATTACAGTCCCTGAAAGACTTAATAGCCTTCCTATACCAAGTTCCCAGCAAGCACATTATTACCTGAGATACCAAAACACTATCAAAGATAGCTGGCACACAGATGCACTCATACCCTGGATAGCAGTGCAACCATATTTTTGGGATGCCTGATTAACAGCTTTCTTTCTCATGTACTTATTTATCAGGCTTATTTATCCACCTTTTCATTTTCTCTCTACTACATTCCATTTTCTGCCCACATTTTAAAGTATGTCTGACAGTAAAGGTACAAGTAGATTTTTTCCATATTCCACTAACTTTCTCATAGGAACTCTTATCACAGAGCATTTGGAAAAAAAAAAGAAACCCTATACATTATGTATATTTTAAAAATCTGACTGAGGCTGAAACAAGCATATTAATCTTTGTTCACAGTCATACATGTACCTAAAAGAAGATGGGAGCTTTCTCTAGCATAAACTCCTCCAGGTACAAATTTATAAGCTGTACACCACACACAGAAGAATAATTCAAGAACATAGGTGAACATGGCTGTACTCATGGCTTTTCCGGGATGCAGACAGCCAACAAAGCGCCCAGCCAGCTGAGGCCACACACACATAGTAAAGACAGCAAGAATGTTGCCTGCCACAGCAGCACTCCAGGTGTGTAAGTAAAGGAGACCAGCTGAAGATGCTATGCCTGTGAAGAGACAGAAAAAAAACAAGTCAGTCACAGTCAGCTGTTATCTGCCCTCTTCTTTAGAACATTCTCCACCAGGAAGAAAGAAAAAGAGTCCTGGGAAATGTAACTGTGCTTTGCAGTCATGGTACCACTAGAAGGATGGTTACTGTCTAGTTTTCTCAACATCTCATTCTCTTACAGGTTGCTTATTGACTTGAAGGAGTGCAGCAAAAAGACTGCAGAGAGACAATCTAAAGAGCCAAATCCAAACTGCCTTTCTTACGCAAAGCTTTTCCAGCACAACAGTTACTATGCAGTTTATGCATAATAATAGATTATGTAGTTTAAGATGCTTATAGCTCTGCTTGTTATATAATGCTTATCAACTTTGATGTGCTTACATCAAAAAAAATCAAATCTCATACATTACAGTCCGAACACACATTTCTTAAAACTAACACCTGCACCAAGAGGTTAATTATTAGGGCAAATGACAGTTTGAGCATTGCCAACTCTTGTGCTTTTACTGAGACCGTCCTGGTATTTGTTATTTTATTTTGGCTTCTGAAGAGAAGCAGTTCTAGGAGTAACTCAGTTCACGTAAAATTTCCTGTCTTCACAATTGTGAAGAGTAACTTGAAAGCATTGGCTCCTCAATGCTTCAAAAGAGAAGGTAAGAAAAAAGCAGAACAGTGTGCATGTCCTTTGGTTTCCATATTTTGAGGTCCCAATTATTAAACATTTGTGGAAAGTGCTGCTTTCCTGATAAAAACGATCCACAAGCAGCTAGCAAAGACCAAAAAGAAGCAGTTTTGTTTTTGTTTTTTAAACAGCATTTATGCCAGTCAATTTCTCTTAGATGCACCTACAGCCTAAACCAAGCTGCACCTATCCATGCTGAGAAAGTATGGAAAAAACACCTCCTATGAGAAAATTACAGAACAATATTTGTCTCCTCTATGGCTTGCTCCATGGCTTTTATGGCACATCTATAATTTCTCTCTGAAAATGGATGTGCAGATCCAGCACTCAGACCCCTTTTCCCACCAGACTCACTGTACACAGACTGATTCACAAACACATTGCCTCAGCAGAACTGCTTTTGCTTTCTTATTATTTTATTGCCAAGAAATCTTGGCAACTAAGGAAGCAAACCATAACCTTGCCTCTAGGTGAACTTCTCATCACATTACAAGTTACTGTGCCTCCTGCAGAATCCAAGGGCTTGTGTCACCTCAGCCTCATAACTCTAGCTGTAGCCTTGCACAATACAGATGATGAGAACAGAAATGCTGCTCACAGGAACAGAACTTCAACAAGGGATTCTTAAGAGAACAGTGCTGCTCTGCAATTACTTGGAGATTTGGCCAGTAACCCTTAGTCAACTGGTTAGATATGCACATGCTGCAGCCAGTGATAAAGTAGCTCTGATTAACAATTCACTTTTCTCATATGGGAAGTCGGATCCAAAGGCATGACTAAAGGTAATAAAAACAAAAATTCTGCTCCAGACTTGCTCCTACCTATAAGAAACCAGGCAAAACTGGCAACAGAGGACCAACTCCAAAACGAAAGCATCAGTCCATGAGCCAGACCCAACAGAACTGTACCACTAATAAGAAAAAAGAAAAATGGAAGAAGAAATCATACATTACTTTAACTTTATTTTATAAACATCTGGCATTCAGAAATAAACTTTTAGACATAGAAGTAGGGGTGGTTGGTAGTATTTTATAATCCTTTTATTTTAAAGAGTGTTTGACTTCAGTGTAAAGTATCTTTGTTTCACCCCCTGCTACACTCTCTCCTTTACCCAATGTAAAAAACAACCAAGATCCAGCTGCAAATAACAGCTATTCAACACAGTGTATAAAATGAGCTGCATTCAGCAGCACAAGCCTGCCACTGAAGCCATCCTAAAAAGAAGGATTCTGGTCACTTCAGAGAGGCTCCCCAGGGCAGTGGGCACAGCACCAAGCCTGAAGGAGTTCAAGCAGCATTTGAACAACACTTTCAGACATAGGGCCTGAATTTTAGGTGGTCCCCATTTGGAGCCAGGCTCAGTGATCCTTGCAGGTTCCTTCCCACTCAGGATATTGCATGATTCAATGAAATTAAATAGGGACTGAGTAGCATCTAAAACTGCTAACAATCTTGAGTAACTCTAAGTGCTAATTCTAAATTATTAACTAACTCACCTACGGCTACACATAAGTGGCTATCAGTAACTAATCCACTCTCTAGATTTTGGAACTTAGTCTTATGCTGTCAGTTGCTCAACTAAGTTCTTAACACCTAAAATTTATACAGAAGCATATCCTGTAATATTGCACATAGATGTTTAATAATAAAAGAGGGAAGAAAAGCAAGCAGTTTCCAAAGTACACAATTTCTTATTACCTTCTTGATGAAATCAACTGCTAGATTCATTTACTGTCTTTTATAGATGCATCTCATTCACAAGCACTTCAACTTCAGTCCTAATTTTAAAGTAATTTTGCAGTCTGGCTGATCAGGTGTTATTATTACAGACATAAAGATCATTTTTTAACAGAAAAAAAAAATAGGATTTATTTTTGCAGATGCAGTGCTTGGAAATATGAGAAAACAAGTCAGCACTACTTGACCCCTATTCTTAAGCTCTCTGTGAGAAGTATCTTGCACCCAATTTATTCTACACAAACATTCATACCATCAGCCTCTTTCTAGTAACCAAGCTCCGTCCAAGAACACACTAAGTAATGTAACATGTCTGTTCCCTTCCTTTTGGAAAAAATAAGTGAAGTTGAACAAACGTTTCAATTTTCACGGTGACACTGGTTTTTGATTATTGTTTTCAATTATTTGAACAAAACAGAATAACAAACCAACCAACCACAGGCACTTACCCATACGGATTAGGATCTGGACCTGTATGTGGGTGCCCACTTACTGCCCATCTAGAAATTAGCGAGACCTCCCCAAATATCCAAACGGTGAGGAACATGAGGCTGCCAAAAGCAACTCCTGACAAAAGCCAATTAGGCTGTGAGACTGTCTCCTTAACTGTGTTACCAGTAGTGTTTGCTCTTCGCTTCCTCTCGCCTTCAACTAGAATAAGAATAGGAATATAACGGAGCAACGTGTCAAACAGGAACAAAAAGGATTCTTAATAAACAGCCAAGATTACAAAGCTACCAGAACAAGTTAAACAGCCACAAAAGCTAACTTGTTTGATTGCTCATGAAAACTGATAAGACAAAAATCTCTAGTAAGATTCCTAGGTCTACCAGGAAAAGCCATTGGTCTTAAACGTACAAAAATGGCAATCTGCCCATATGATTATTCTTCATCTTATTGGAATGTAAAATATTGAAGAGGCTTTGAAAATCAGCAGAAAAGTTATTGGAATTTGTTCAGAGGATTCTGTTCTCTGAAACTCTAAACTCTGATAAGAACACAACCTGACACTTCCAAAGAAGCCAGAAAAACTCTTCCTTCTCTTCTCCTTTTTCCTCACTTATTTGAGGAGAAGGGAGTGCCTTTAATTGCATTGACACATTGCTTTGTCACATAGGAGGAAAGTAGACTCCATTTCTCATTTCCCACAGTAGATTCCCTTTTAAATTATTATGAAAGTCAAGGCTTAGCTTAAGTCAGAAAACACAACACAAACACACAGTGCCAACTTATACCCACGTACACATAGACAAGGTTTTATCTTTCAATTAATTCATTCATGTTATACTGAGAAGGAAGGAACTTCTCAGGATTTCACATGAGCTGCCCTAACTAACCAAACCAGCCTCATTGTCTTTGGTGATACTCCCTTCACACTTCTAAAGCATGATTACCACTTGCCAGCACCAACTGCCATGCACTCCACCCAGATGCTGCAGCAACTTGTATGAATTTTGACTAACACAATTTGCCCGTTATTCCAACTCTTTTTGTCTGCTTTGCCACATCAGCTGTTCCTTAGCTTTATCTCATTTCCCTTCTCTGTCAAAAAATTTGTACTGATGGAAAGAACTGAAAGAGCAGATGGAATTAGGAAAATAACAGTAACACCACAGATGTTTTCTGCTGCGGGAAGGATAATCCATTCTGGTTTTAATGACATATGTTATTTCTTTATTTCACTGCTGCATTATTGATGCTGCAATTAGTTGGCATGTCTAACTTACTACAGCTTGCAGGGTTTGAAACACAGATTCTGTCTTGTTTTGAGAAAATGAAATATCCCATGGTTTGTAAAGTCTGTAATACTTATACATAGACAGGTACACCTTAGGACACCTTCATAACTGCTTTCTTTGTTATAATGTGTTTACCTGAATAAATTCGCTCCACTGCTGCTACAAAACCAATTGTCAGCATGACAGTATTGGCAGCTCGTGAGCTCCACACTGGGTTCAGTGATGTATACCAGATTCGAAGGACGAGGAGCATCATCTTGCCTAGAATGAAGCCCCATATCCTGATGAACCTGCAAGAATCATTTTTAGATCACTGACACATTTGAAAAGGGGGAAAAAAAAAAAAAAAAAACAATCTTGTTTTCTCCCTCAGAAAACAAAACCATAAATATATATTTTAAGATAGACAGACATCTTTCATAATTCCATCAGTATAAAAAAAAAAAATACCTTTGCAAACTGTTTCCTGACCACCATGTTACTGTTTGAACCAGCAATGAGGAAGAAACACCAGCAGCCAAGATGAACAGTCTAATGGAAGCATTTGGAGCCTGGTATGATGCTAAGCTCCCTACAAACAAACACACGCAGAGGTTGCTTTAGTGGGCAACAGGGAACTGGTAATGAGGATTTCCTGTGCAATAGCTCAATCTTATCTGTAATTCCAATGGCTATGCCATTCATCTGCAAACACAACACTATGCATTTTTTAATAAGCTAAAAAGGTTTGGACAGGGACTGGGGATATATGATATTGCCACAGTTAGCCTCTTCAGGAAAAAAAAAGGAATAAAACATGAAGACGTTACCCAAGATTGCAGCAATTGCCTTAGTTTACACACTTATGGTTATTGATTCCATAAATAAAATATAAATAAAGTATCTAAGCATACAGACATTTCAGAACTGTGCACTTGGCTGAATCAAAATCATAAAAATTGAGATCCATCTTTTTTTTTTTTTTTTAAAGAAAAAAAAAGCAGTCACAATGCTTTGCACAAGGATTAGAAGGCAATTGGTGCGAACAAGACCTGCTTTGGCCCAGCATCTTCCTCCAGAGTCACCAACAGCCTGCTCCATCTTGTTACTGAAAACTGTAACTCCCCCACTTACCGGAAGAGACACTGCGTGCGTCTTCCATTTCTCAAGGCACAGAAATCTCATTTTTATAAGCAGTTTCAAACAGCAGGTTTTCTGTTCAAGTGGGGTCAGTCACATGCTTTCATGTAACTTCAGTCTGCATGGCAAATTGTGACCCAGCACTAGGGACAAACAGGGAGAAGAAGCACTGCTTGCTGGCAGCCCTTTGCTAAGTCAGTATGAGTTAAAGTTGAAAAGATATTAAGCAAGGAAGGGTAGAAATGGAATTGCTGATCCTGGCACTGCCCATTTGCCCATTTTGCTTACAGCAAAAGGCACAAAGATAGCAAAATGAAATCACGGAGTGTAGTGAATGATGTTTGTGCACGGACTTTAGCACAGGTTGCACATACAACACACACAGATTTCTCACTTTCATCATTTGTGCCAGCCAGGTTAGAGTTAGCGTGGGTTTGCCTGTTTACATTAGACACACCTTTGGCTGCTGAGCAAATACACCCAAAATGTAAATATCTAACCAAACATGTAAATCTACTGTATGCGTTGTCTGAAGACAAAGCCTCACAAGTGCACTGCCAGAAGGGTTGTTTGCTGGTTTGTTGTTTTTTTTTTTTTTAAAGAGAACACAAAGTAGCATGAAAGGATATGGAAATCAAAACAAAAGCTTCAGAGAAAATAAAGCTTCCTGGCAGGACAAAAAAAAAAAAAAAGGCAAGTGACAATAATGAAGGAGAAGGGAAGGTGTTTTTTTTTTTCATAAATAATAAAAAAAAACAAATTTTGAGAAGTTCTAAATATTCTGAGTTCAGCTAAGCATGAATAGCTTCCCAAATTTATTTATTAATTAAACACTGTGAAATTAAAGGCTGGCTATTTCCAGTGGAATAGGCTGCAGCAAGCACAGGGTCTTTCCGAGATGATAAAAAAAGATTCAAAGAGAAAGAAGCAAGAAGTGCCTAGCCATGAAGATGGAAAGAAGGCAAAAAATGAGGGGAGGGACAAGAGAGAAAGAGGCACATTATGGTAGGACTGAAATATTTAAAATACAAGTGATGAAAACCAAGTAAAAGAATTGATGCAGATATTCCTAAACCCCAGAGCTGCCTGTGCAAGTGTATTTGGTAACTTAAAGGTGTTTGAGGACCTTGGGAGGCAAGAGTGAGAATCACCACTTGATGCCAAACTCTTTGCTAGGACCAAAGAAGGCGAGCAATGTCCTTTCACATCTTTCCCAAACGTGGATGTTTGCTGAAGAGTACTGAAAGGTGAATACAGTACATCAGAACTGGCAGAGAACATAGTGTACAGCAGCCAAGGGGATACAAAATTAGGAGCGTTTGGAAGGTGAAACTAGCAGCAGACACAATCACTGATAACCTAGGTAGGAATGAAGGGGAGGCCTCACCTATGTACAGCAGTGCTCAGGATACCCTGTCTGAGGATGCTTACAGCCTCAGCCTCCTCAAGCTCTGGAGCCCTCCCGTGAGCATCTTCATTAACACATCCTTTCCCACTTTATTACTGAAGGTGCTGGCTTTTCATTCAGTTAACACCTCCATGATTGTGGTGAGTAAACAAGTATAAACCAAGAGACTTCACAAAGCACAACAAGCCCACCATCGCTCTTTTTATTTAGCAGATAAAGAACTACACAAACTTCAGCAGTTTCCACCTCTTCTGGCAAAGTGAGCTAGTAAATGCAACAAGATGATCCAAATGACTAATCTTCAATAAACACAGCAAATTGTGTATTACTGTGATATCGGAAGGAACACAGAGTGCAGTTTGAAATGCAAGCTCATTTAGAGTGAGCTTGCTCACTCTAAAAGCAAATCTTGTAGAAAGCAATGCACTGAGGAGTGCTGCAGAAAGGTGAAGTGCAACACTCCACTCACTGAAAAGCTTATTAAAAGGTATTAGAAATGATGGTACAGAAAGAGCAGAAAAATAGAAGAACTCCACTTCCTGTGAAGTCATGACACCAATAAGCTGGGTTCAGTTCTAAAGGTAAAAAACAAGGAATCTTAAAAAAAAAGAAAGCACTGCAAACAGAGTAAATAAGATCTTCCTTTTCTGTTCTCTACCAAGAAAAAGAGGAAAGTGATTCCCTGGTTATCATCCTAAACTGATAAATAAGGAGCTAGGAACTGCAAGCAAGAGACAGGAAGCCACCTATCAGCAGCACTCTCCCCCTGTGCAGGATGGATACCCTCATCTCCTCTGACCTCATACAGGTGCTGCAAACTCATCAGTAACAGCCCTGCCTCCCGGCAAACTTCTAGAAAATCAACAAGAAGTAAGACTTGCACTGGTTTGCTGAAGAATGCAAGGGAATCCAGCACGTCCTGGCTTAGGGCAGAACACGTGGGATGGGTAGTGAGAAATTCTATTCTGAATTTATGGTCAAACCCTTTTCTTGTGCAACAGAACGTGAGTCACTTCTCACCCAGGGTGAGCCTATAACCCAGCAATACAATGCATGCATACAGATACACATAATGAAGAAAAAAGTCATTTCAGAATTTCAAAAGTAGATCTACTAAGAAGAACACTTAATTTGTGGCAGATTAGGTTAATACTACCCCCAAATTTATCTGTTGTTAGACACGAAGAAATGCTATAGAAAAAAAAACACTTGCTTTACTGATTTCTGTGCAATACTGAAAACCTTTTTGCTATTGGGCATTTGCACTAATTTAAAAGCTTCTAAAAATAGAGGGTGAAATGAGATTGCATTTAATTATGCAGTACTAACCTAAAAACTACCACAATGGATGCAAAGAATATTCCTTTGAACATACTCAAGAGAAAAATAATGCATGAGTTTGAGAGGAAGAACTTCTTATTCCTACATCATTCCACAATCATTGGAGTCTTGAGGAAATTCACAGTGTTTATTCTTATGCTTTGATAAGAACATGGGGGGGGGGGTGGAGGAAATCTGTAACTCACAGCAGTGCATGCTTACCAACCACAGTCAACCTCAGAAGAGCAAGGATGTACTTATTGTTAGCCAGCCTCCAACAAGGACCAATTACCAGGAATATTGGAGACAAGAAGGCAACTGCAAAAACTTCTAAACCAGTAAGTGCCAGTGTCTGCAGAGGGAAGTAATAAATCATCGGTGGCAGGGCATGGTACAGAGACCAAGAAATGTAGCCTAAAAGAGAAGAAAAATAAATACATATCACACATAGTATGGTTTTATAGCATACTATGTATGGTACCATAAGTAATTTTGAAAGTAATTCGGGTAACAGCAGGCTGTAGTTACCTTCAAAGAAAGCATTTCTTTACAGAAGTATTTGCCATTTCAAGTTAAAAGAACACATCTTCCCACGAAACAGGATAAGAAAACACCTCTTCTCCCGTGTGACGACAGCAGCCGCTGCTTCGGCCCCGAGTGAGGGTCGCCCAGCCCAGGGAAGGGTCAGCTCGCAGAAGGAACAAACACCCCAGTGAGCAACCCGCTACGATCCGGGGCTCCTCAGTGCCGGGCCGGAGACGACGAGCGCTGTGACACACCTCGCTCCGGGCACAGGTTGGGCACTGACCCCCAGCCTGAGGGCTCGTTGGCTCCGCACGCAGAGGCTCGCGGCACGGCGCTGCGACTTTCTGTACTCTTTGTAAGAGGCGCGCCGAGCCCGAGCCCGCTGCCGGCCACAGGCGCGGAGCTCTGCTGACCGCTCAGCGCTGCCGCTCCGGACCTCGGGGCGAGGGCTCGACGGCCCCGGTGCCGCGATCGCCGCGTCTTCTCTCTTGGGGCACGCGACGGGAGCCGGCTGCTCCCGAGACGGCGCCGTCCCCCCCATCTCCGAGGAGCCGTTAGCCGCCCCCCGGCCCGGCCGCCACCTACCGAGGAGGCTCTCCGAGAGAACGGCCCTCCACAGGGGATCCATCGCCCCGCCGCGCCGCCCGCAGGCTTCGCCCCTTTCGGCCGAGAGCCGGCAGGACGCCCCGCCTCGCCCGGCACGCGGCCGCCGCCGAACGGGCACCACAGCGCCGCCTGGCGGAGCACCCGGTCGGGTCCTGCCCTGCCCCGCGGGGCTGCGGGTCGCACCGCCGTCCTGTGGCAGCTACGCAGCGATCATCGCCGCGGTTGCGGGAGCCGCTGCCTCGGCAGAAGTTGCCGCTTTCCCTCTAATGCCCTGTAGAGCACGGACCGCTAAGGCAGGACGGCACTGTGCCATCTTAATTTAGCCGTCCATGGTTTACAGCAGGCTAAGGGCTTCTAATAAGCAGTACCGCCTGCAGCAATCGCTAAAATAAATATTTCTTCTGCTGGGATTTCTCGGTTGAGGTTTAAGCCCCGGTGCTTGTTGATTTTTAGAGGAAGCCCTGTTTATAGGAACCCAGCCACGGTCATTGCTGCCAGCTTCAGGCAGAAGAATTGTATAACAAATGCTGAATTTTTTTAGTATATGTATATGCATAAAATTTAAATTTGTAGCTGTGAATTTTTTGCATCATCTTAAGTTCTATTAATCGTACATTACCCTAGGAAACTGCCAGCTGTATCTTCTCACTTCTACTTACTGCCCCAGCCTACATTAATTTTATAGCAAGCATTTGCTTTGCCTTTCCCATGAATATCCCAGTTTGCTCCTGGGGACTTTAACAGACTCAACACCAGTATTCTGACAGGAAAAAGAAAAAAAAAAAAAGAAAGAAAATGAACCCCTCTGGAGGAGGAAAACTGAGATTCAAAGTTGGAAGGGACCCTTAAAAGCCATCTAACCCAACTCCCCTGCAACAGGCAGGGACAGCTACAGCTCCATCAGATGCTCAGAGCCCCATCCAGCCTGACCTCAAGTGCCTCCAGAGTTAGAGCATCCAACACCTCTGTGGGCAGCCTGTGTCAGTGATCTGCATAGTCTTAACAACCCCCTAATTTTCTCTGCTTCAAGATCCATATCACTAAACGCATCCTTTATTTTCCTCATCTGAGTAAACTTCACTTATAGTTGGTGTAGGACTATGCAAGTGGTGACAACATTTCATCTTGCCAAAAAACCTACCTGGTGTAGGGAACCTGCTTTGGCAGGGGGGTTGGACTCAATGATCTCTGGAGGTCCCTTCCAACCCCTACAATTCTGTGATTCTGTGAAACGGAGCATGTAAGATGAGCTCCTTGGCCAGAGTAAACCAGAACAGCTGCCTCTGTAGCTGCACAGCAGAGGCTGGTGCTCACAGGCCAGGTCCAGACAATAAATGATTTTGCAATACTTTCAGTAATTATTGTATCTTACTTTGTGGTTTAGAGGTGGAGTTCCAATAAAATTAGACATGCCTGGAATCACAAACCTGACATGCTTGTGTGACTTCCATTCAAGTGCCAAATATGTAGCTGATAAATGAAGCAATAGGAATCCAATAACAGCAAACCAGCAAAACCAAGATAGCAAACTACAGTGAGAGCTTTTTCTCACAGAAAGAGCATCTTCCTTCTATATTAGTGTTCAGTATACTCTGAACTTAAGGCAGACATAAAATCCTGAGTTAAGCAGAAGTCGCGGCTGGATGTCTGCGTCAGTACTGACAGGGGCAGACCTCCCTATGGCTAATGACTGTAAAGTCAGTGCCTTATTTGGGTTCAAACTGTAACGTGAGCATGTTTTGAATCCCAAAATAAATTCTTCAGGGTTCTGAAGAACTGTTAGCTACTTGAGAGAAGATGTCTTTGCATACTGCCCAGCAGAGCTGTAGAGCTGTGTCTGGCTAAGCATGACAAAGGTGCAGAAGAAAGAAGAGTAGTGAAGAACAGCATAGAAATACTGGTGCAAGATAGGATTAAGTACACTCTTCTGGAGAAGCACAGGGGTGGGTGAGCTTACTGTTAGGCATCAGCTACAGCTACAGTGGGGGCACAGACTCACAGGTCAGCTGGAGCCCATAAGGGCATATTTGTTCTCATAAACATTAAAGAGATTTGGGTTGTCATTTTCTCAAGGTTACAGTAAGTTGGCTACAACAAGACACCATTCATTTGTTACCTGAGCTGAACCATAACCTCACCTCTTGTAAGTTACTCCCAAAAGCAGTAAGCACCTCCCAAAAGCTGTGGGACATACACTAACCTTGCCCCAGAAGCACTCCACTGATGTACTCACTACAGCATGCCTTGATTTACTTCAGTGTGTGTTAGAAACATCAGTATAACCAAGTCTGACTGCAGTACACAAGCACCTAGAACTGTTGAAGTCTGCTCATGTTGAAGGGCTTACAGTAGAAAGTTCAGACAGTAGGAAGTATGCACATAGCTGTTCAGCTTTAGAGAAGACAGAACTGTGGTCATTGTGCTGCTTTCTTCACACTGAGAAGTGAAATCCTAGATCTCAAATACCTGCTAATTATCTGCCGCTCTTCCCTATTAAACAACAGATCAAGCCAAGAGTAAAATAGAAATTAGTCTATTCAAGAGTCAGATAATAAGCCAGGACATAAAAATCCCTATAACACTTTTTTTTTTTTTTTGTGTGTGTGTGTGTGCATAGTGAGGACAGAGTTTAATGCTTTACTCAGAAATACGTTGACTGTTTCCTGCTGTGACTTTTGATGTCTTTTCATTCACCCTTAACTTCTATTCCAATTAGCATGAGAACAGTGCCCTGTGGTGTAATTCTGATGTGGTTTTCCATACTCTGAATATTTTTATTACTGATATTTATTATTTTAAACCACACTTTCTTACATTACTTCAGGTTTTCTTCTCCCTCACGGATCTCTTTAAAAAGCATTTAACATCATTGACATTCTAACAGACAAACGGACCACGATTTATGACACTTTATGTCAGTTCTTATTTCACGTGCTCTATGAACACACAGTGATTCTATTTAAGACTTTGTTAGGAAGGCTTAGATATTGGTGAATGTGGTCAACCTCAGGGTGTTGGCAATCCTGTAGCATCTTCTAGAAGGTTTTTCAGACAAACAGCCACAGGCCCTAAACATCTCCTAGACTGTAAAGTCTCAGCTCCTCAGCCTCCTTGTAATCTGAGGACTGCAGATCTCATTGGTTGTGACTTAGGCGCTTTGTTTTCTTTTTCCTAAGGCACTAGCATTTATTGCTTTCTGCCTACTGTCTTCTCTACATTATCACAGTTCTAAAGTGCTTTCATGTAAAATCTTAAGGACAAAGTATGTGAGTAACTTAATTACCATAACCAACATTTCCTGTGAAGTTAAAATTATAAAGAAATCTAACCTGGTTGGAATGCTATGACGTAATGGAGATTACAGTGATAGCAGCGGGGTAGCAAAGTCTTTGGCTGTAGCAAATGAGTGCAAACCCAAATGCAGCACCACAAATGAAGAAACAAAGAGATAAAGCTACTCACCTTTACAAGGCCTCAGGCAGGGATCTCCAACAAGCTACCCTTGCTTCCACTGACAGTCCTTAAATGAGGTCTGGGAAGGGATGGATACTGGCTGCATCACTTCTGATCACAGTTTCATTGCTTGCACCTGAGCTCCACTGGGTCAGCCCTGCCTTCCCACCAGGTGTTCAATCACTGCTTCAGGCCATGACTTTGCATTTCTACTGCATTGATTTTTAATAGGCACTGCTGCACAGGAAGGTGCTGTGCTATCCCCAGGAGCACGTTTGCACTATGAGGAAATTATTGTTCCATTGCCCTTTTATTTTGTGACCAGTTTAAGCCAAACCAACTAGGAAATTATTGGGTTTTAGGGTTTCGTGCCACATGGGATTTGCTTGTACATTTCATTTTTCATAATAGCATTTAGTGAGTACCTATAAATCTTTCTTTCATGTGTGATTTCAGGGATATCTCTTAGCTCATAAGAGATGTAGGAGCTGTTTTAGGACATGACCTTTGCAAAACCTGCACACAGAGAGGACATTTAGCAGCTGCAGAGCCAATGGCTGGCTTGGCTGGTAAGATGAGATAATGCTCTGGGGAAAGGGGCTTCAAGCAGCTAAGGATTTCAGAAGATGAAAGGCTTCTTGAACTTAGCAAAATAAACTGTGAGATAACTGTCACACTGATTATGAAATACAGATGCTGAGGTCATACAACAGGAGGAATTACGATGCTGATCTCACCAGCTATTCAGTTCATGGCAAGTGCTGAAGTGCCGTTAGGGCATGCTACCCAAAACGACAGTCTCCGTGTTGGAAAAAGAAAAAAATAACAGCAAAAACAAACAAACAAAAAACAAGAAACCACCCCAAACTGCTTTCATTAAAGACAAAATGCTGCAGGACCCCGCACGGCCCTGCAGGTATGGCCACAAGGTGGCGGTGGAGCCCGGCAGAACGCATGCAAGATCCTCTGGCGGGAGTCCTGTGTGCTCTGCGCTCATACAGCAATTCAGTTTGAGAGTATTTTGCTGATACGGATCCTGTCCCTTCGCCATGTTCTTGCCAGCAAAGCTTTCAGCTTTCATCCCAAGTGGGAAAGCTACCAGGAAGCTGCTTCATGGGCCATCGCCATTCCTTAAGAGTGGCTGAGAACAAAGTAGAGCCAAGTACTGAAAATAGTTACCAGTTCTGCAGGTTAGTGTGAATGCAGAGCTTAACTGACTTTTTACCAAGGTGAGAAAAGGTCGTGTTGCCTCTGCTCCCTCGCTTAAGAAAGCATTGCAGTCTGAATGTCCAGTGTGTGCGAAGCAGACACTGCATGAGCTTAACAGCTGTGTATCTGACCCCAAGATAAGTGCAGGAAATGGTTTATGCTGTAATATTCTGAGTGCCAAAAATCACTCAGGTTATTAAATTGTTGCAAAATGTTTCCTGTTTAACTCTGTCCTTCCCAGTTGCTTTAGCCTTGCTCAGTGCCGCAGTGCTGAGAAGGTACTTTCTGAAAAGCAGCAGTGCTTTGTATGTTGATAAAGAAAGTGCCAGACTGCAGCAAAATGCAAGAACCAAGACTGTTAATTATCTACAATGTGAAATGGGTGGCTGTAAGCAATAAAAGCATCTAATTGTTATGCTTACAAAATTACAGACCAGTCAGGCATAAAACAAGTCAGAGTTCTGTAGCAGACAAATATTTTCTTTTTCCCAAGGCACCTCTTTTTTTATGAAGCTTAAGTATTGACTTTCAGGAACAGATATGATGGTAGTGGTGTGCCCTTACAGAAAAACACAAGCATTGCAGCTAGTTTTAACTCACAGTTGCTGCAGAGTACCCGGAGACCAAATTTCAGATGACAGCTGTCCCATACATTTTAGATGCCCAATAATGATATTGTAGGTATTGACAGAGATCTCTTAGAGAGATGATCTATTGATAATCACATTTTGATACTATGGGTGGTAGAATGGAAGGACAGAACAGTGGTAGAATGCAAGAATATTAATGCTTTTTTCAGCAAGCCAAACCTGATGGCAAGCTAATTATTACGAAGGTGAAGCCCATGCAGATGGAGTCTTTTGATGTCATAGGTATGTTTAAACTGATCAGAGACAAAGTCAGGCAAGTCAGGGCTGAATATTTGCAGTTTTCTTCTCAGAAAGCTGCAGTGGCTCATGAGAATTAAAAGGCTGACAGAAATAAAGCAATGCACTTCAGGGGTAAGGAGCAACTGTGTTGGGTTTGGAAAGTATAGATCAACAGGATGTGCAATTTCAGCCTGGGTAGTTCTTTCTGGTTTTGCATTGGGTATTAAAGTATTAAATCACACTGCTAATGACAAAACGAGGAGTTCTGTTTGTTTGGATGCTGTAGTATTTGTCTACTTTAGTTGATTTACTTATTTCCTCCTGTGAGGTTAAATTCAGAAACCCAACTCAGGTTTATACTTTCAGCCAATGCTCTGTTGTCCCATTTCACAAGCTCACAATGCTGGAGAAATTGCAAGGGTCTATGGAGAATGTAAAAAGGAAAGTTTCTGGTGCAGAGATGAGTGATCCAAACTTTTTCTTAACACACCAAGAGTGATTTCCTGATGTCATTGTGAAAATTGGCTGCAAAATGCCATGCCATTTATTGCAATGCATCATTTCTTGTCAAAATGTTACTGAGTTGACTGTTACCCTAGTTTGAGCTGAGTGGTATATAAGATTATTGGATCAGACTGGATCATCTTATAGCATAATCATTACAGGTAAAGGTGGTAGAATTAAACTCTTGCTTAATGAGAGCTTGAATAATAATAGAGTTGGCAGTATTCATGAAGCCAGTCATTAAAACAACATTAGGAGTTCTTTATCACATTCCTGTGCATTTGAATGAAAGGGAGGCGTGGCTGTATAGCTTGAGATTGTGTAATTCTTTAGATTTTAGAACATCTTAAAGGTTAGATACTCAAGGGTTCAGTGCCTTTTTAGTCCAGTGTCAGGTTGTCTCTAAATTATATATTTTCTGAAAGGAGAAAATTGAATATAATGCATTTGTTCCAGGTGCCACAGAATCTGTCTGGCAGAGCATGAACACATCCTCACCTCAAAGAGATAGTAATCTGAACAAGCAGGTGTAGCAGGTAATTTAAACAGCACACTAAATTAGTTTTTAAAAGATGAGTAATATATTCAGCACTATAATCATATAAAACAAGTGTTTAACATATGGAAGTTAACAAGTGAGTAACAAATTCTGTCTAATACTGTACATTTGTTCTTTTTGTTCTTACTGCTCTTCCTTTGTCTCTTGGGATCGTGCTTGTCACCCAGGGGCTGGTCCTTAAAGGTAAATAGAAAGAATACACGGTGGGCATAAGTTACAGAGTTCAGACTCAAGAGTTAATACTGAACTGCAAATTTCCCTGTAGCCTGCTGTTTTCCAAGATCAGCATTCTTCTCGTTCATCACCATCACTGTTATAACGATTTGATCATTGTGTATTAATTGCTGCATTCGTTCATTTGAAAGAACATGAGCTGTAGAGAGAATTCATGAATTCAAAGACTGGCCACTAGGCCCTGTTGCCATGCTCATGTGTGCTTAGGTTGGGTATTCCCTGGGGCTGCTGGTGGGGCAGAGCACTGCACAGCCTGAGCAGGGCGCCAGCATCTGGTATGCTAACTCCCTTTGTCTATTCTAAAAGGGCAGGCACTGTTCTTACAGTGACCACACACTGATATGAATACAGCTTTGGTGCAGAGAGACAAGGAATCCTGCCAAAGTGAGGACACAGAGAGCTCTTTATAGAGGTGGCTTGCAATCTGCAGGCTAACATAAAAGAAAATTGTATTCTGTTTATGTGTGAGTGAGCCTGCTTCTACACATTGCCCCTTGAGGTTCCCCCTGGGGATCACGGCTAATAAGAAGCTTGAAGATAGCATTTTGGGTAATGGGTGAAGGGCACCCACTCTAAAGTTTGCCATGGTGGGTGCATCCCATTGGAGAAAATGATCTGCTCCTCCAGCCCATGTCAGTAGCTGGTTACAGGAAACCACGGGGCACAAAGCACAAAAGAGAAAGGAGAAAGTGAATAAACATTCTGACTTTTTTCTTTTATTATAGACATTTTTGTTAGCAAACCCAACATTTGGAGCATTACCTAAGACACCAAGTAAGTTGGATCTAATTCTAAAATAAAGGAAAGATTAAATGAAGAGATCTGCAGACCTTCAAAATCTCTTTTCAAAGTCTCTGTTTTTGAAATCTGTGAGATATTACCAAAGTTATTTAGGAAACAAGAATTCTCTTGTGTTTAAAAATAAATATATGAAATGCAGTTAGTTTCATGTAAACATTTTCAATGGTAGCTTATATTTACATACTTATCCTCTGATATTGTTTTAACCTTTGGTTTAGAAGTAATGTCTGCCCAGTTATCATCCATCCTCAGCAGATCATTAAGTTTTGGATATCCGTGGACCATCATAGTCTGCTACAAAAAGGAAGATAGGATTTTCTGTATGTTCATTTGATGCATTGTGTTTAATTTGTAATCACATGATAGAATGCACAATACTGTAATTGGGCTTTTAAGTGGCAAGGAAGGAAATTGACTCCCTTTTCAGCAGACGTTTGGTGAAAAACTGGCCATGCTGAAGTAATTTTTTGTTCTAATTCTGTTCTGGTTTCACAGAAAAACTGAAAATTTAGTGCTACATTGGCAATTGCCAGAAATACCACATCGTGCATACAAGGGTAAGGGAAATTAGTGCTGACATTGTGATTGAATTTCATCACAGACTCTCTATATAATCTGTTTCTCTGAATCTGAAGTCTTGGAACTCAGTTGGCCACTATCAACGTTTCCTGTATGCATTTTTCAGGGAGCAGTTGCTGTGGTTCATCATTGTCAAACACTTTTCTAAAAATCCTCTCTACAAAAATTGATCTCATCTGTCATTTCATATATTTCCCACAGACTTCAATGTGAACTTTTATGCTTATGAAAATGCCTTACTGATAATGGAAAGCTTCTCTGTTTTTGTATCTCTCTCCCACCATTTTTCCTCACACACTGCTACACGGTGGTTATTTGACACTCTTTTATATTATAACCTTTGCTCCTAACTCTGCTTTATCATAGTGATAGGCACAGTGGCAAAGAATGCTTAGAAATTCCTATTATATTTTGGTAATTGCAGGAAATGGTAGGTAGGAGTAATAAGTAATGGAATCACATTGATCAAGACATTTAGATATCATCTTTTGCAGTTTATGTGCAATTAAGTAGTCACAATATTTGGAAAACATAGGGAAGAGATTACTTCCTCAAAATGTCAGTATGCAGTGTGGTTGCATTGGGAGAAATCGAGCAAAATTCTCAAATGCTTTGTTTGCTTTCAATATTGTAGGCATCATACTTGCAAAGAATGAGAAGCAAAATGGAAATGAAAGGAAGAAGGAGGTTCAGTTCCTTCAGTATCTTAGTCTCACACAGACAGCTTTCACATTTAAAATGATTTCATTTTATTTTCCATGCCAGATTTATTTTTCATAGACCCTCATTTCTGAAGAATTTCTCATTTTGCTGTTTAAGAACACCTCACATCCACCCAATTGGAATTAACTTGTATTGACTACAAGCATGAAAACACATAATTCTGTACTATTTCTAACTTCTTAATAATAGAGTAACTACAGATAACGTTGATATTTCAAGAAGCATTCAATCATTAAGATTCTAAAAGCAGACAGAGCTGGAAGTGGGTAGTACATCTCATATCATGGTTCGGCCAGAGCCTCAGCAAGGATGCTACATGAGCAATGCTATCCTGGGAAGACATGGGGGTGAGAAATGAAAGAACCACGTGGTTGGGTGGGGGACATGAGCCATGCAATATTTTCACCCCAAACAGGGGAAAGATCCTTGTGAGGAAAAGTGGGATTACAGGCTGAAAAACAGGGGAGTGGTTAAATGAACTCCCACTCTTTGTCTACAGAAAAAGAGGCCAGCAGCTGGGCTCTCTAAAAACGTTTTCACACATTCTGCTTGTGGTAATCTGTCCTACATTTCTCACAGGCAGGAGAATGTGTGAAAGTGTTTGCAAATAGCTTGGCTGCCTAGAAGAGGGGAGGGCAGAGGCCTCCTTGAAATCCTGCCATTTGAGTTCCTTAAGGCTCCAGCTGCAGCTCAGGGCAGAAGTCTGATGTGGAAATAATTGGATTGAGTCTCTCTAGCCATTATGACATAGGAATTTCGAGAAGAATGTTTATAATGGTCCCTTTCTTGCTCTAAAGCTTATTGCTACAGTCTTGTAAGGAACATCCTAGCAGAACCCACTTAACTACTCAAAAGCAGAGATTTAAATGAACATTACAACAGTAAGGATTGTTTTGAAAGAAGACATTAGAACAAATTCCCAGTTTTAATCAACTTTGCTGTTTGAACATTTTACATCAAGAGTGGCAAGCGCTCAGCAACTGGTAGAAAACGCTTTTTGGCTCAGGGTTACACAATAGGGATGGCTTTCAAAAATCAGCAGTGCTTCTCTTGTGCCAGCTGGAGAGATCCTGAGCAGCGTGGTCAGTCTGATCAGTTTGCTGCTCCAGCTGGAAATGAAGCCCCTAAGGAAAGGGGAAAAAAAAAGCAAAAAAAAAAAATCTTTCTGAGATATATCTTGCTAGTAACAACATGAAGGGAAAGTGCCAGACACAGCTAACTGTGATTGAATGACACCTTGAATCGACCAGCAGTCATGGGCTTCATTAAAGCCTCAGCCAACTGTGCTGATGAAATGCCTTTGAAGATTTTCTCTCAAATTAACGTTTGCTTACATAGGCCAGTATTCCCACCTGTTTCAAATAGACCCCAAAACATATTTAATTGAGGATGGTCAATTACAAGTAATTACCCGAGTAGTGCAATACAGGCTTTGATGGCTGCAATGGGATTTGCCTTCACTGTTTGTCAGAGCCCATGCTTGCTGAACATTAAAGCCAAATACAAGAGACCTTTACTTTTTCAGCCTTTTCACTCTTGCAGATAACCCACGCGCTGTGTGAGAATATTTTCTCCTGTATATTTACCAACTAACTTTTAAAATAATTTTGTCTCAAATACAGAGAAATCTTGCAGCTATGTGAAGGGAATAATGCAGGATATCACAGGTGTCTGTATTTGAGTTACTCTTATAGTGGGTCCTGGAACTTCTGCTGTGTGACCTGCTCCCTCTTCCAGCCCAGACCTTGGCTGCTGCCCTTTTAACCAGGTACTTAGATGGTGTCTGTTTTTCAAGAGGATTAGAAAACTCAATCAGAAATGTACTTATCTTGCAATTGTTCTTAGACAAAATTTTGACCAATTTTTGATTGCTGGAAGGAAAAATACCTCATATTTAGCCAGTAAAGTATTTTGAATTTGCCAGGAATCAGTTTTGATGCACAAATTTTACAGCAGCCCATGTTGAAAGCAAACTACAGTCAGATTTAAGTGATGCGTCCCTTTGTCCAGTTTAAAGATGTAGTGAAGATGACAAAAGTTTTATTGATCAGCTTCTTTCAAGTCTTTACTGCATAGATAAGAAATAAGTAGTTCAGTGTAAATCTGTTTGTCTGAAATAGTTCTGTAATGTTAACATAGTTAACATTAGTGAATAACATAGTGAATAACAGTTTCTTGTCGTGCAATTTTTAATATTTTGTCTGTTTGCTGCATATTATTGGTTTCTTTCTACCTTTGATGCTATTTAGATCTTAGTGCTGAGAAATTAAGTTTGTCTTCAATACTTAGATGCTGGTAGTACTTTGTGTAGCTAGGAAAGTGACATAGGCTGGAAAGTTTGCAGTTAAGCAGCCATTCAGACCCTGAGCTGACTGTTTACAGAGTGGTCTGAAAGTAAGCTATGGGAGTTCATTAGGGTATGATCACACAGCAATTATTGTGCCAAACCAACTTTTGATAGGCATCATATTTAAAAAAGCATCAACAAAACACTTTACCAAGGGTATCAAAGGGATGCCACATTCTTTGTAGACCAAAAAAAAAAAATATTTTGGAACTGTTCATGGTTCACACACAATCCAAGACAGGTTTTCTCCTCAACACCTACCAGAGCGTGCATTCTGTAAATAAACAGCATGACATACAAACTTTCAAGGAGTATCTCAGAAAATCAAGAGCAGACTTTTCACCAAACAGTGATATATTTACTTGGAAACCAAAAGTGCAGCTACTGAGAAGTTTGGGCTTCATGGTCAGTTAGTGAAGCCTGTCTTCTGTGGTTTGGGGCTTTTTTTCTGTTTATGTTATGCCTACAGCTCATTGTGCCTCTAGTTTGTACCCATTTTGATCCATCTGCTTTGGCCATTTCTATCTGGACAAAAAGAGACTCTGCAGTCAAGATATATAGGATGTAAAAGTAGAAAGTAACTACTAATAGGTAACAAACAGAAGACATTCCAGATTTACCAGCCTTCTAGATGTTGTTGGCTATCAAGATAACAGTAACAGGCAGCACCAACTCACACTTGGGTTACCTCAGGCCCTTGTGGCAGATAACATTTCATGGCAGACTCTCAGGGGCTGCTCCTGTGGTCACTGGTGTCTCCGGGGAGTTACTGCATGGGTGAAAATAGCTGAGCAGTAACAGCTGCTTTAAGTGTAACATTGTTTAGGCTTCCTATTACTCTGTTGTAATAAGTCTACTGTTACACAAAGCATGGATGTCTTTTTCTCTAAATTTACTTCCATACTCCATTGCCTATTGAGGCAATAATATTCTGAGGATCTAATCATGTTAGCCTAGGTTAGTGACTTATTGTGCTACAGTTGTGAGAAAAGGCCTTTTACAAATCTAAGCTGCGTTAGCATCAAACTTGTGCTTTTCAAATTAAAACAAGCACAGATTTTGGGAACATTATTTTTAAAGGTGTTCAAAAGTTTGGTTTTTTTTTTGTACCTTAAAGAATACAGCCAAATAATTCTCTAAGCTTGCCAAGTTCCACATAACACTCCTTGGTTTGAGAATTAACAAGGCTATAATCTTTGGTAGGGTTATTATTTAATTTTGTGAAAATAGAGCTCCTCCAGCATTGCAGAATGAACCAATCTAGTCAAGGCTGAAGCTGAGTAACAAGGCTCCATTTTAACGGCATTGCAATATTTCTGAAGTATAACTTCAAAAGTTTGTCACAACATAAATTCTAAGTTAAGTGGCTCTCCAAAAAGCAAGGAATAGAATAAGACAGGGAAAATTCACAACACATTTATATACCATGATAGTTAGTTTGATGAAATGGGAGCCAAGTAGCTTTCACTGTGCTTTGAATTCCAGGTCTGTTGGTGTTTTTCTGATGGGTGAGTGCACATCCTAGGGATGGAATCAGATACTGAATATTTAAATTGAGTTGTTTAGAAGACTTAGCTGAAGTTTTTCAGAGTGCAAGAGTATCTTGTAAGCTGATAGTAAAAATCTGTATAATAAGCAGATGTCTGGAATGTTAGTAGTTACAATGCACGATGCAGAAACACTTCAATGCGTATTGGTTATCCTATGCTAAAGAAAAGAATGACAGGAAGGGCTGGACAAAACCTACTGTGCTTTTATAGTCAGACCCTCCACATTTTTCTACTTGAGCAGATAAATTCCTGATGATAAGTAGAGTACTGTGAGAAGTTATCAGTACAGCTATTTTGTAGCAATTATGCACAACCTCATTAGCTATCCTATGTTAACTGCTGTTACTGGTAGTTTCCATGCAAATTGGTTAAAGAATTTATTTTAACAAAGAGAAAAATGAGTACACTGAACTTAAGGGTTACCTATTAAAAACAAAAACAACAGAGAAAGATTTAAGGTAATCAGTTACTTCCACAAAATGTATTTGTCTAGAGGAAGCCTCCAGGAGAAAAGTAGTTATCAAGTATCGTTTATATAGTGCTAAAACTTTTTATAGTGTTCTCTTGTAGTGTATGTTCTGTATTGGCAGGAAGATGTTTCAGAAAGTTTACAATATCTGATGAACATTGATTCCCATTAACAATTGGTACCTGGAAAGCAGAACTAACTTCATCTGAAGATTAAGGAGTGTAGCTGTGTGTTCAAAGATATCACAGCTTCATGAAGTCTGCAGCTTGGGGAGAAACGAAGCATTATTTATTTGATTAGTAACATCAAGAAAGAAAATACAGCCTTCAGCTGCAATGCATGTAAAGGGATAGCCTTATGTGAACCTCAATCTACTGCATGAAATTATGAATAGAAAAGGATTGAGAGTAGAAGAAAACAATGTATTTTCTTCTTTGGGGAAATTTCTATTGGTTGTTTTAAATAATTTCACTAACTTTATATACAGTTTTAAAAAGTTAAGTTGTATTTTGTAAGTGAACTATAGATTGAAAAGGAAGCAGATTCCTATTAAAACATGAATTTATTTTAACTTTGAGTGAGCTAACTGGACTGCAATTCTTTTTTTAAAACTGAAAATAGAAAGACGAAAGTTGACCAGTCAAGTATTTATAAGTCTATACCAAAAATATTTTGAACTTATCCTATTACTTTTTGAGAGGATGTAGCATTATAATGCCACAGAAAGCAGAGCAGTAATAGTAGGGTAGCAAAGTCCCAGGCTACAGTGAGCAAGGACAAGCCCAAATACAACAGTTACAGAAACAAAGGGGGGAATTTTTATTTATTTTTTTTTTATCCTTGGAAGGCCTCAGGTAAGCAGGGATCTCCAGCAAGGTATCCTTGCCTCCACTGCCAGCCCTTAAATGAGGTCTGGGAAGGGGTGGATCCTGGCTGCTTCCTTTCTGGTACCTCAGGTGTATTGCATGCACCTAAGTTCCCCTGGGTTGGCCTTGCTTTCCCACCAGGTGCTCAGTCACTGCTTCAAGCCATGACTTGCATTTCCACTATAGTGGAGAACAAGATAAGGAGCATACTGAGCCCCCAGAGCTAACAGATGGGCAGAACTGTGGTTGGAAATGTAAGTAGAGCACACACCTGGGACAGGAGCCTGTGGGGCAAGGACAAAGAGGATGGTTGAAGGCACAGCTAGATCGGGTGCTGTTCTGCTGCCTCTAAGAACAGTACTGATTTGGGAACACAAGCTTCTTTGACTTGACTTTCATGACTGAACAGCTGTTGGTTGTTTGCCCCCATAGCTGATTTGCTTATATGGCATTGCTGCCAGAAACTTTGCTTGGGAGAGTGAAAAAAAGGATCCAACTTCTGATGCAAGCATTGCAGCAGGTCCTTGGAGCTAGTAAGCTGCTTTTACTCATGTGCTTGGCTTATATGAAGCATCATTTTCCTAACTGTACTTCATTTGAGGAACTGTCTCCAGCACTGGTAAATCTGTAGAGACTGAAATAATTTCAAACATACCCATGATATTATGATTAACAGTTCTTTGTGATACCTCCTTATTGTGAAAAATCATTACAGCTTTCATAGAAAGGATGTCAGTGTCTTATAAGGCTATCAGATTCTGAAAGAATGGATGTGTGTGAACAAAGGGATCTATTCCTGTACAATCAATGAATATTAAAATGCTATAAGTATGAAATAAACAAGAGAGTTTGACAAAGCAGATTAGGTAACAAAAGGAGAATAAATAGAAGGCTTACCCCTATCCTGGGCTCACTCACAAAACTCCAGCAGAGCAGATCTCCAGAAGAGATCCTTCCCTACTGGTAGCCAGCTCTTAAATAGGTCTAGGAGCAGCACAGGTGAATTGTTGAATTGCCTTCACCTGTGCTCCTCTGGCTGACTGATTGCTCGCCTCAGGTGATCAATCAGAGGTTCAGGCCCTGACTCAGCAGTTCCCATGCAACTCCATACAGTGCTACTACTTTATATAGTCTGCTATATTTACTTTTCACTGATCATATTTTACTTAGTATAGGCTTTTTGTTTGTTTGTTTTGAAAAGGCTTTTAAGAAAATGAGGTTCTCAAGAAATAGTGAGGCAGCTCTTAAGGGCAGTTTAAAATCTAGAAGGCTTGAGAGGGCTTTGGGTCAACATGCTAACATTATCTGGCAAAGGAAAACACAAGCACGTTTGTATATGGAGAACAACTAGAAAAGTCCTTGCTACTGTGAGGCTGAGTGCATGGGAACTGCTGAGTCACGGCCTGAACCTCTGATTGATCACCTGAGGCGAGCAATCAGTCAGCCAGAGGAGCACAGGTGAAGGCAATTCAACAATTCACCTGTGCTGCTCCTAGACCTATTTAAGAGCTGGCTACCAGAGGGGAAGGGTCTCTTCTGGAGATCACCTCTCTTGGTGTTTTGTAGTGTGCCTAGCCAAAGAGTAAGCTCTTCCATCTTCCACTTATTCTCTTTTTGTTATTGTTGTCTACTTTGCTTAACTCTCTTGATTATATTGTCATTATAACATCATGATATCTATTGATTATACAGCTGAGCAATGATCTTCCTTGTCATCAGTAGCACAATACATGGGGGACAGTTCTAACTGCATCACATAGTTGGTTTAAAATCACTCCAACTTTCTCAGTACTGAGCTTTGGGAGTTGTTTTGCCTAGTTTTCTGTAAACAGCAGATCAGTGCTCTATGACATCCAAAAGACAAGTAGAACATCAAGAATGCCTAGGGAAAAAAAAGAGAACTATAATGCAGAGCACTTTTATGGCATCCCCTTTTTGTGAGTAGGAGAAGGAAGAAAAAAAAAATAATCAGAGGTACAAAATACTTTCCTCTCAAAAGACTGAGGAGGTAACTCTCCAGGATGAAATCAACTCAAGGAATGCCATGAAAGATGAAAAAAGAATAAGAAATCGCTGTTTTTTTTCATAAAATGATGACCTGAGATGTTGTTAATATCCCATCATTGGTGTTTAAGTATCAGATACCAAAGCCATCCTTTTCTGTATCACTTACGCTATTGTAAAATGGTAGTGGTCCTTAGTTAAGAGTAGCAATCATACTTAAAATGCACAATTAAACCAAACAAAATTATGTGGCATTAGATTTACATAGAACTTAATTTTAGCTTAAGAATTTAAAAAATGCACCAGAAATGTGCTCCTAGTGAGGATTAGAAACAATAGAAATGAATTTATGTTATTCCATGTAAGGAATGAATTGGCATTTTTTGCCTTTGGGAGCAATTTGTGCCAAGACCATATATCTCAAAGGAATCCCACATCATCACTGAGCTACTGGAAGAACAACAAAAAGGCTTCCCACTAGGGATTTTTAATCCTGTCTAATGTAGTCAGAGTTTTGGCAGAGGAAATTTATCAGTCTTCATTTCCCCTTTATCTTAATGTCTTCTTTGTTACTTCAAGAACAATTTAAAGTTTTACATGATTGAATATCCTTTGTATCAGACGATTACTTAATGTTTTTATTGTGAGCCCTGCTTGTTTTTTTCATGCAGTATCAGATTATGAAAGTGATTCTTGTTTTTCAGTTTGGCAAAACTTTGATTCTGTTATAGAGAAGACACTGCGACTGAAATGATAAATTGCCATTCTGCCACAGATCTTAACATCTCAGGAAATTTGGAATCAGCCAATTAAATAACAGTAGCATAGTAAAAATGAGTAAAGGAGGCAAGTATTACAACACACATAAGAAGCATAGCATCTTTAGCCTTGAAGAGAACAAACAGAATTAAAAGCTCTAAAAGATGGCTATTATTACTGTTTGATTCTGTAAGAATTTACAGTTTTTATTTATCTGAAGTAATTACACAGAAATTAGGCCTCCAAGGAAGTGACATCTACTCTCCCACAGCTTTCTCAATAGCTGTTTTCTCTGTCACATTTTATAATCTGAACATTTATGCCTTCCTAATCTTGCTATACTGCTTCACTTACTTAAATAAAAATACTAGTTGTTTTATTATCTTCATTATTTGGAAAGAAATCATTCCCTTGATGCTTTTAGGAACTGGAAGGTTGTTCATAGCTGAGACATCCTGGTAGTCTCCTGGCTCAAGGTTCTAATGCAGCTACTCAGAAGTGCCCCAGAACTGCTCCGTGGTGCTGGTGATTTACATCTACTTCTTACATTAACAAAGAAAATATTTAAACTGTGGACTCCAGTTATATCAATGTGCTTTGGCTTGCTTTGGCTTAGCTGAACTAGTGCAAACCCATATGAGCAGCTCTGAGGCAAGAGCCTGAAATAATAATGAGATGCAAATTGCCTCATTCGTTTCCTTGAGCCTGAAATCCAAACATGATTTGTTGATTTCTATAAACCATTTAACAAGCAATCAGACTATAAGAAGGGTTATTTATAGTGCTGTTGTGTCATTTAGCAGATAACAGAGATAACTGTGCTGGTTGCACACCGGAAAAATTGCACTGGAAGCAAAGCCTGCTATGGAAGGGCTGAGCTGGCTGCACATCAGAGCTGTGAGCAGGGCCCAACTGAGCTACTCGCTGACAGCAGCCAGCCCAGCAGGGGCAAGACAAACAGGTCCTTGGCTTCCAACAAATAGTGGACAAGTCAGGATTCCCTCTTGAATCACAAGCAGGCAAGAGATTTGTGTGTTCTGTTTGGAATTGAGCGTACTATTTCCCCAACTTCCACACATCTGCTTTGGCTTTCAAGAAGCAAACCACGTTCTTTTGCATTTATGTGTTAATCTTCATTGTAGTTGCATTCCAAACAACTTTAATAGGAACAAATTCCTAAAAACTCTTTGTTCATTCTTCAGCTGATGATGGCATCCCTTGACTTGAGCAGGGACAAAACACACAGGACCAGGGTTTTGGTAGAGCATTACAGTCTGCAAAAGAGCTGAGGAACATTTACTCAATCCTCTCTGTGCTCAGCCACATCAGTAACAACTGGATTTTGGATAATGCTGGTAGCTCCTTTATATTGGCTGTGCATCTGCTGCTTTTTAAGAGTTTTAGGAGACTGTGAGAGCAGTTACTTCAAAGCTTTCTTAGAAGTGTTCCTAGTGAAGCATTCAGACTGATTTGCTGATGTTTGCTGTGGAGTACAACAGTTGATTTTTTTTTTTATGCAGTTTAAATTCAAGCACTAAAAGAAAACCATGAATAGAGTTAATACACATTAATGAACAACGACCCATACAAGAACTTCAATTCTCTTGTCATGCCATCATCTTTATTGTTAGGTCAGACTGTAAATGCAGCCAAGTGAAATTCTTACTGTGATTTTTGAAGAGTAGTAGGGGATCTATATTCAAGTAAAACAGAAAGACTGGTTAATGAATTAAGAAAGAATATGATTTGCATTAGCTGGAAACGTGTTTAAACATACAGCAAGAGGATCCGTCCTGCATTCTTCCTACTGTTCTTATCCTCTATTAGACAGACTGCATACATGTATTCACACTGTGGGTGCAGTATAAATACAGGTAACCAGGTAACTGATAGGACATGATGGAGTGGAAGAGAATACTGAAACTTTGTGGTACTTAATGGAAGAAATGCAGAAGAAAGGAAGGGATAAGGCTCAATTTCTACAGCTGTTCAGTGATTCAGGGGTACAATGCACACCAAAAAGCAAACTGAAAGTGAGCCTGCAATGACAGAATGGAAGTTTTCAATAGGCAATCAAGTTACCATCTATGATTGTGAAAATTCTTGTATTTAATGCTTACTAAGCCAAATACTCAAGTGAGAACAAAGAACTTGAAATTGTTTTTATCGTAATCCCAATTTGTTCCTCCTAACCATCTGCAGCAGAATGAGAACCTGATGATCAATTTAGATACATACAATGTTACATTAAGCACAGACACTTGGTCTTTCTATCAAAATTAATTATACGTGCCTTTTGTTTTTTTCACTAAGGAAAAAAGTCAAATACAATTAACTTAAAATGCCAAATTTGCCCACCTGAAATATTAATTTAAGGCAAGACTAAGTCCCAGTTTTAGAGCAAGGGCTTCTGATCATTGGGTTAACTACTAGTAGTCAGTCACGAGCACATAAGAAGAGTACGCTCCAAACATTACAGTTTGTGAGATCTAGAGGGAGTCTCACTTTCCAGTGGAATGGCTGCACTGCTGAAGTATCTGCATTAACTCATATAGTCAGTGCCTGAGAGGACCATTCCCTTGCATAAATAAACATCTAGTTGTGTAAGGCATTAAGATTCCTGAGTCACACACCAGAAGTTACTCTGTCATTTTATCTTGCTCTTAAGAAAATGCAGTATTGCTCCAAAGTAAAAAAAAAAAAAACAAAAAAAAAAAAAAAAAAAAAACTCACAAATGCTTATTATTTTTGTTGCTGACTTCTTGTTCAAGAGCTGTGTCTTCTAGTGTTGCAGCATTTTTTCCCCCCTCAATGCCATAAGTCTGCTCATAGGTTTTCCCACTTGCAGGCTTTTCATTTGTCCAAAATTTTCATTTTTTCAAGTGAAAATGCATTTCTTATAACTTGCTCTTGTTTTAACACATCAATCTTCTGTCCCTGTTACTTTTTAACTCACAACTCAGAAATTTTGTATTTCCAAGATAAGTCTAATCAGCTTTGGAACAGTGTGCTAAACAAGTAAGAGAAAAAAAGCCAGCAATGTAATTCCAGCAAGCTTCCTTGATTTTCAGATTTAATCACGGCCACTAGAAATATTCTCTGAGTTACATTTCTGATACATCTTGAAACTTACCTGATTAGTGCACTTTAAAAAAAAAAATTAAAAATAACAATGAACTTATCTGAAAGCAATCTTCATGTTTTGATGATTATAAATAGAATTTCTCTCTGAAAGTATTTTCTCATCTTTTCCTCATTTTTTCCCCCTCATTCCAGCTGATGGCTCTTCCCTACCCAAAACAATCTTCTCATGTAGCTCTGCTGTGAGTCCACTAAATCAATGAAATCTTCAATAGTTTCCTTTTCAGTAGGCTATTTTTCATCTCTAATAAAGATGTCAGGAATGCTTTACACTATTAACTTCACCATGGCTTCTGCTCACCTATTGCCAAAGAGCCCAAAGAAACACAGTGCTGTCAGATTAAACAGCATAGCTGAAAATGAGAGAACTCAAATGGACAGAAGATAACATATTAGTATTTTGACTGAGAAACAGCAGATGATGCATACACTAGACAATACTTTTCAGTAGTTTTGCCAATGCAGCTCTGTTCTGACAGCTAACTGCTCCATTGCTCAGGATCAACAGTTTCACATTGGGTTTTTTTTTCATTTAATGACATTCACAAATGGAGAAGTACGATGTAATGCACAAGAATTAACTCTAACAGTCAAGATATCATTTACATTTTTACCAGTCTGTCTGGTTTAGGCTTCCACTTAGATGTGCAACACGTGCAAGTCAGAACAGCAGTCCAAATATAATGCTGCCACCCTGAAACACTTTTGAAAAAGGGAAAGTCCAATTCAGTATGCTTACTCATGTATCTGGCTAGGTTCCTCAGCCTTTTTTCTCCAAATAATTCAGTATTATTCCAAACATTATTAAGTATGATAAAATGTTTCCAACACATCATTTTCAAACACAAGAATGTGAGAGGTTATTTCTACAGGTACCTTTTAATGCAAATCTTGAAAATTTCAGAAGATTTTGACATTTTTCCCATCCCAATACAAGCAATTGCTTTTATTTACATACATTTTACCCTTTCTTATACACTTACATTAGTTATTGCTAGTTACCTTCTTCATTCTTAAATAATAGCACAAATGGTTTACAATCATGACACCTCACAGCAGCCTGGCTCACCATTTTATGCAAAATAAAAAATGACGTTAAGCCTAAATATATTCTTTTGCATCCTCTGGCAAGTCGAGATTTTCTCCTAATTTATGAATAACTTTGATTGGCAGAACACACTAAACGTGCCAGCATCCATGACTAATACAGATGAAACTGAACTGAGCTGACAGAAGAGAATTTTCCTCAGTTCTTCATCCAGTTCTTACTCGTCCCAGGTGTCTCCATATTTATTTACTTTAACTAAAGAAGAGAAAGAAACAGTAACCATGTTATTAGTTTGAAGTGCAAAAATTACAGTGTCAGAAGGTATGGTGCATTGTCATTGAAAGTGCTGAGCGGGGAGAGTGTCAGTCACAGCACAACAGGTATGTAATTAAAGACACTTTTGAATAAATGAGGAGAAGAGCTCATTCGTTATTCTTTAAGAATTTACCCTCAGTCCAGAGGCCCACTGTGCTCATTCCTGCCCTGCAGAACTTGTAACTACTTGGAAACAAATGGAACACGTGGATGAAACAAAGACAATTGGAGGAAACAGGCAAGAAATGTTTTGAGAAGTATGTGGCTACATAATGTAGTTACGTGCACAATCGGATGGATTCAGGATAGTTCAAAACACAAACAAAGTGAAACCAGCACTCCCTACTAGGAAAACACTCAGCCATTACTATTTGGCAGCTTCCTTTAATATATAAGCGAGTCGGGGGGAAAAAAACAGGCTACTGGTCTTGAAGAATTTACTCAGATACATAGTGCTTAACTGAAAAATGGACAGTAAGTGAAAAGATGCTCTCCTGAAAGTGAACTGGAAAGTGTCTGTAACTGTCTGCCATTGCTGACAGTGTAGAGATGGAAGTATAAGAAACAGGAAGAACGCTGATGCTAGTTAGGCACTCTTTATAAACTGACTTGCAGTTTAGTCACCAAGCCCAGCTATTAACACCTATCTACAGTAGAAGCAGTGGAACAGAACAGCGTACTGTCCTTGTTTCAATGAGAAGACAGCAAACTTAGCATAACACACTGACAAATCTGTTTTAAGCAGATTGATATTGCATGTGAGGCACACGAGAAGCTGCCTCCAACTAATGTGATTTCCAGTTCCTTTCACCACAGCTCATTTGTTGACTGGAATGGTCCAGTCCAATTCACTGTGCAGCTACACAAATTCATACTGCTACAACTAAGGGAAAAGAAAAAGCACCAGCAGATGGAAGCTAGAAACTGCTTACAACTGGCTTAAGCATGGTTAGTTTCTTCTTCTGTCCTTGCCACAGAAGACAGAAACCTCTGTCTCCCATTGGCAGTCTGGGTCTGGATACAGATACAGGAGATGAACAAAGGGGTAAGGAATCAGGATGCACAAAGATGTACGTAACAAGCAACGTGTCCCATATGGTACAAGAAGCTTTAACAGATTTTAGCTCACAACATCAGAATCCCTTAACTACAGATTTAAATGCGCCTCCTCTTACAGAACATTTCTCAATTTTTGTACTCCCTTCTTACTTTTTTTCCTAACAATGGAAATAAGGTACTCATAAAAGTTTATTTACAAATCTCAAGCATTGCTCGGTGTAGTTCAGTGTAGTCAAGTAATAAAGAAAGGAAAAAGGCTGTTATTCTCTTAATGATGTAATTCAGTCTTTGCCCAATAATTTTAATTTTATTTCATGACTAGAAGACTTTCTAAAGGCAAACAATCTGGAAAAAGTATTTCACAAGTATATAACAGACTGACACTCCTAAATAACATTGTTCCAAGGTTTACTATTAGTGCTTCAGATCTTTTTGCATTTACACACCTTTTATATATTTATTACAACCTAATATGCCCAATAGGTGACCTTATCTATTCTTACAAATCTTTTTGCATTATCATTGAGAAGACATTTGGTTTTGCTGCATACAAAACCAAATGAGTATACCTTAACAGTCCTGCAGTCTGGTAAAACACTTACACTGGTAATATCTTTTTCCACAGCTGTCACACTAAATAATACAATTCTAGAGCAGGCAAGTATGAACTGCTACTGATGTCTCCTTTTAAAAACAACTGTTCAAGTCAGAAAGTCGATTGGAGTCTTATTCTTCAGTGCACTGCATTCTTATTTTGTTGTGTACACTTTTGTTTCTCGTTGTGGAAACAAATCTCGATACTGTTGCTAAATACTGCTTCCTTCCTTTGCATTTTAATGTAGAATAATGAATCTCTACAAACAATACTGCTATAGAAATGCACTAATTCCACAAGAAACAATTCATAAATACCCCCCACTCCAAAACCATCAACTGTACTCTATTCTTTGAGAACAATGCTATCTGAAACACACAGCCCCCTTCCATAGCTAAAACTCTTCAGTAAAGCTCAGAGAATTCTCTGTTGAAACACATTGCTCAGTGTATTAAAAAAATAAAATAAATACATTTTAAAAAAATAAATAAATAAAAAAAAGAGATTTTCAGAGTCTGGCACCAAGCTAGAGAAAAAGAATTATTATTTGCTATTGGAAGATGGGTATTTCTGATAAGACCCCATTGCATATCACATACCTGGAGACACTGCAACTGTAAGCTTTTCAAAGGGCAGGCAGAATTGAGCTTTGGGTTTGTAACTATGTGTCCAGGTGTGGAGCCCTCAGTACAAGAAAGACATAGAGATTTTGGAAAGGGTCCAGAGGAGGGCGACTAAGATGATCAGGGGGCTGGAGCACCTCCCCTATGAGGACAGGCTGAGGGAGTTGGGCTTGTTCAGCCTGGAGAAGAGAAGGCTGCGGGGTGACCTCATTGCAGCCTATCAATACCTGAAGGGAACCTACACCCAGGAGGGGAGTAAACTCTTCAGAAGGGCTGACAACAGCAGGACTAGGGGAAATGGATCCAAGTTGAAGGAGGGAAGATTTAGGTTGGATGTTAGGAGGAAGTTCTTTACAAGGAGAGTAGTTAGGCCCTGGAACGGGCTGCCCAGGGAGGTTGTGGATGCCCCGTCCTTGGACGTGTTCAAGGCCAGGTTGGACGGGGTCCTGGGCAACCTGATCTGAATGTGTACGTTTGGTGGCCCTGCTAGGCAGGGGGGTTGGAACTACATGATCCTTGAGGTCCCTTCCAACCCGGGTGATTCTGTGATTCTGTGTAACTATCTTTAAAATTATTGCTACTGTTTGAATTTACCACGTATTGGTGTAAATCAGCACAGTACCTTCCTTAACTGGTCTTTCCTGGGGAAATTTGCTTGCAGTTTCTGCCTTCAGTGGTGACATTACTTCATATGTCTCTCTGTGTTTATTCCTTAATTCTTCATATGTGACACTTTTTTTTTTACGACTTTCTTCTGGAATTGGAGGAGCTTCTACAAACACAACAAACACAAAAACACCCGAAATGGCATCACACAACAAAACTTGTCCACAGCCTCTTCCAAACACCAAAAGTGTTTTTGGTAAGCCTTTTAAATTCAAAGGATGAGAACCACAACCATCATACGTCACTTGATTACACTTCAATTTATGTTTGTAATGCAGAATCTTGGTTCTGTAAATTAAGGCTTTACAAATCATTGCTATTTGTGATGAAGTATTATTATAATTCCCTTGACACATCAACATACGAAACTTTTATATAACTAAAAGTGAGTTGCACAAAAAGTTTGCTTTTGTTTTGCGTGTGAAACAAAACATTTTCCATCAAGGAATTGAGAATCCAAACTAATTCAAAATATGCAACTCTGTATTGCGTAGCAACAGACTCCTTTGTGTATCACAGAGGCCAGACTTCAGAACAGCGTTTCCCTTGCAATAGTAAAGCACACAGTTCATACTGGACTGATGGGAACAGCTGCACAGAACACTACTTTAAAACCCTTTTACTTCTCCACGAGAAAATCAGCTGTCACGTGAGAGAACACAATCTGCATTCAGTTCTCAGAGAACTTAAACATTTATCACATTAAAAATAAAAAACAAAAACACAGCTTTAAGTCATGCAACCAGCAGTATACAGTCAAAGCACCATCATTAGTGAAAATTAAATAATTCTGAAAGGCAAGCAGATAAATGGTAGAGACTGTGGCTTATGTAGCACAATGAAAAGGCTGGCATATTCATCTTAATTTAAATAAAAAAGAGCTTCAAGTCAGAACATGTACTTTGAGGTCGAGTTTCCTAAGAGACTAACCCTTGCAAATTCATTTACTTGCAATTAAAGCTACAAAATAGAAAAGCACCTGCAATTGGCTTACAGTTAGAAAACAATACATGTATTTGCCTTCTGTCTCAAAACAATTCTAAGAACTTCAAGGTGTTTCACTGAAAAACGCTATTATGCCATGTATGACTTCATGGGATGAAATCAATTTTACTGAGAGAGCTAAGAGAAAGGCAAGAGTACTGCAAATTGCTAAATATTCAGACAGATCCCACCTTGAACATTATAATCGGTAATTCCTGTAGGTGAAGATTCATTCAGGGAAGCACTGAATGGAACGGGCTCATAACTAGAGAGGGCTCTATCTGTGGAACTGTAATCGTCTGAATAGCCAGAAGACAGTGGGAATCCAGCTTTTGGAGAAGACTCAGTAAATGACTGAGAAGGCATATCTGAAAACTCAGATTTTCGACTGGAATGGCTGAAAAATAATACAAAAAAAACCATTAAATACTGAAAGCTAAAGTTAAAATGAAACTATATGAGTAACATTATGTGCAGCTCAAGAACTTTGAGCTTACCCTGTTTAATGATTTAGTTTTCAATAAAATTAACTGAACTGCCTTAAAAAATGGTATTCTCTTTAAACACTGCAAAAATCTCTATATATCCTTCCCCAACAGTCTTTGATTCTTCCCAAAAACCTAACTCACAGCCCCAAATCAGAAGACAAAAGAGAAAGTGTTTTGCACTTTAAAACATAGAAATGACAATCCTTTTCCTCAGGGACTCTTCAGACAGAAAAAACACAACAGACACAAATAGTACAGGGTGTGTCCTTGTAACAAGCTATAACGTGCAAACAACAGTTATTTCTAAAGATCTTTTAGGAAGAATTTGCAGTTAAAAAGCATTTATTATTACAAATGGTATAACTGATCAATAACACAGAACAAAAGAAAGGGAGAAATGAGATCTGTCTCGGGGAAACAAAACTATAATAGTTTACTGAGCTGCTGAATTAATTTTTCAGAAGAAACATTAATGAATTTCCTCTTGAAAGAAAAAGATCACACAAAAATACTCCTGAAACTGATGTCTGATGCTGCCTACCCAGAATGGCCTGATAAATCACTTCACAGTAATGTGTCAGGTCTATCAATAATGCAGTCCTCTTGGTGCCACTACGGTCTTTCTTTGTTCATTTTTTACTTTACATTTTTGCATAGCTGTACATTTAACTTCATACAAAAAATTGCAGTTAATATTTGTTTTGTTCTCACATGGCATATTGCATAAACATACACAGCTAAGCCATCTTTTTCTCCATTATATTTTTAAAGTATTTGCAAACTCAACATTAAAGAACTGAGATCCTTTAGCTCCCTACTCGTCTTTAACTGCAAAAAGAATTACACGTTAATTAGCACAAGTATAATGGCCACAAACAAGAGGGCAACGATTTCTATCACTGGCTTTAAAAGCTAGGACACGTGGATAACAATGTGATTTGAATGAATTTAAACTCATCTTTCACCAAGGGAAAGAAAAAAAAGTACAGCGTAGCAAATAAAATAGATTTCTCAGCTACTGAAGAAAGGCCAACTAAAAGATCAAGAGGTGTAAGGATGCAGCAGATGATTGATCATCTGGAGTGAGCAGAGCTAACGCTCGTGATAAAGTCTTATTAAAAACTGTGGAATGGTGGGGGAGAGGGTCCAGCTGAACTGATGTATTAAGTGGTCATTGCTAAAACTCATCAGAAATAATTAAAAAAAAAAAAATCAGAATAAAGGTAAACCTTGCAGACAAAACTGATAAATATTAATTGATAAAGTAATCAAGAATTTAATCAAGTCCTACATAAACATGTGACAAATCTTTGCACAGAGAAGCAGCAGGGCTACCACTCCCTGTCCAAAGACTGTACTCTCAATTTTAATTCAAGGGCTTAAGTGAGACATTCAAAAAGCAATTTGTAATTAAAAAACAGTTGAGGTAGAAAACATTCTGGAACAAAACAGGAAATAGTTTTAAGAACTTGATGAGTTTCTCATATGCACAGCATAACCCTGTTACAGATGTAAAGGATTTAAACAAACAGCCACAAGTTTGACCACCACACTTCTTCCTGCACTGATATTGTTTACTGAGCTCTTTCCTTCGATAAACACTGAAATCATTTCCACCCTCTTCCTACTTAAATCAAACTAAACTATGAGATAAGTTTCCAGAAGGTAACACTATTTTATTTCAGTTAACTTAGTTTACTTCTCAATTGAGGAGGGTGACTTCTGATGTCACACTACCACAAGTAAATTCTACAGGAAACCAACATATCTTAATTTACAGGGAATACGTTTTCATAAGTAAAATATTTATTTTTCTATTTGTCAAAGTAATTTACTTTATGTGTTGAGTTCAAAATGTGTGTTTTTATAGCTGGTCAATTGATTGATAGAGATGATACAGCTTCCAGAAAGGGATAGAAAGGGGCAGAAGGGGAAAGAGGGAAGTTACAGATCTGAAGATCTTTGAAAGCTGCCAATGCAGCCTTCATCTCTTTGGTCTTTAAAATATCTTATCCTAGCAAAAAGTGTTACATTGAAAAGAGAATTAAATTCTTACGAATGTGAGCTGTGTCTCTGAGCCTGTCGCAGAACATCTCCGATTGGGGAGTCCTTCAGCCTCTTAAATTTCTCACTACAGATTGGCAAGTAGGATATCTTTCCAGCCAGGTATCCACACATTCCAGCAACTTTATTAAAAGAAGAAAAAAAAGATGTTTTTATACACTGAATAATAATATTCAATGTAGTTTTAAAATAAATAATTCGAAATGAATTCTACAGCATTTTGAATAAGAGAATAAAAACAGTTGGCAATCTGAAACAAACAAACAAAAAAAAAAAGCAGCAATCATCTCTTTACTACTTCTGCATTTGAAGGGTACTAAAAACAAATGCAAGAGCTAAACGAAGACACGTGGCAATGATTTAAACAGGACATGAGCATCAGGTGATTTAAGATAACAATTAATGACTGAAAGGTGACAAGGAATTCTAATCAGCTTTTCCCAAGCTCCAAAAACAATTGACTGTCAAAGATGATAAAAAGGTCAGGAGTAAACAAAGGTAAAATACTGTAAGAATTTAATCCACTGAAACAGAGATCTTGAAAAGCATGAAGAGAAATCTATGATATTTTGTACTAGGCTCTAGTATTAAACTAGTTTTACAACTGAATTGGTGGAAGTGTTGCAATCTTAAGGCAAATGCTTTCGAGTGCATGAGACATTTCATCTGTTAGGCAGGATAAAAGTCTGAACAATCACAGTAGTTTTTTTCAGGAATGAAAGCTGTTGATTTCCATCAGTTGGTCCTTCATGTTTTTTTGAGTGGGCACAAAGAAGCAGAGCTCAGAGGCCACCAAAAGAATCTTTGTTATTTGTAGAAGTGGACTAGATCCCTTCAGATGCAAGGAGCATTTACTAACTATGAAGGCTAAAGACTAAATCATCCTTAAGACAGGTAAGAGTGAATTACCAGTAACGTTAATTCCTCAAGACCCTCACACTGTAGATTATATTACCTGGGAACCAACATAGCAGGGGATTTTACCCTACCATACTGAAATCGTGATCCCTGTTATAAAGCCCGTATTTTCCAAAAAAGATAAAAAATGTTTTCCAAGAGAAAGAAAAGCCACAAGCAAAAGCATAGGTTGCAAATATTTACTGACAAGAAGTGTAGGGGTTTAACTGCTTGGAAGGAAAAGGAAATGCAAGATACATAACATGTATCTTTTCTGTGCAGACAGAAAAATCAAAAGCTCTTAAAATGCTGGAACAAAAAAAGAACTCTTAAACTGTTTTATTGTTGTTTTACATCAACTATAAGCTAGCACCAGTACTCGGAATTGCACATGTTCTTCTTTCAGAGCTCATGGGGGAAAAAGAAAACAAAAATAATTACAGCGGTGCTGCTTCCTTCAAGCAGATTTCACTGCAAGAGGAACATAGAGTAAAACTATGAGACACCATGCGGAGCTGGCAATAATTTCCAGGAAGAACCTGTAGACAGCAGCCACATCTGACTTAAACAATGAAGATGGAATGAGAACTCCTTAACTCAGACCTTTTAAACCACAACTACATCCTCCCAAAATTCCAGTACTGGAACTGTATCTACTAAACCACACATAGCTACCTGCTGAAACACAAGCAACACACTTTTTTTGGAAGCTCTTCTCATTGAAAATGAAAGCCTATGTGTCCATCAGTGTATGCTGAAGATAAGCTAGAAGTACTACAGCTTACAGCCACAGTTTCAAGAACAGCTGGTCTGGCCCATTTCAAAACTTAGTTCTGCTAAATAAATGGAGCACGGTCTTCAGCGACACCTGCATAGTAGGTGTCATGGAAATAGTAATTCCATTATTCATTAGAAATGTTTCTACTGTTTAGTGCTCAAAAAAAGCAAGTAGAACTCCCTATAAACAAATGGCAGCCCTGCTTTCTCACATTCATTTATCTGCCTAAACAGCACTTCCTTCACCACAAACCATGGCTTTTGCCCTCTTCCCACTGAAGTAAACTGTGATAATAACTGGCTGTAACTGGCTGCATCTGGGCAGATTGGCAAGATGGTGAGTTCCTGTTTTACTGTCATGTATTATATTCAAATGGGTAATTTATTATTATTATTATTTTTATTACAGTTAATCCAAATTCATTCATGAGAAACTGCTGTCTTCCCATAATTGTATAACAGAACATCCAGGAAAAAAAAAAAAAAGCACTAAAATAGCATGAATGGGACAAGTGAGGCACATGAATAATGACCTTCAAATTAGGAAGGGAGGGGTGGGTGTACCCTGGCAAAGTCCTTCAAGCCAACTTCAGTGCAGCAGCACTTTTCCGATTTGAGGAGATATTATTTGGACCTACAAACTTTTATACAACGTCGAAGAGCTTTACTTGCCAAAGCAAAAACACTGAACAGATACTGCAAGTACTAAATATTGTCAAACATCATCAAAAATGGCGTTCTGACAGAAGTATCACAAATTGCTAGCAATGCAGGTCAGGTGCAAGCAAAAGAGAATGTTACTGCTTGTGTTTGTTTCTTCCCTCCTGCAAAGTTTACACAGCCATGGAAATAAAAGCTAGGTCAAAAGAGCATTTTTACTTTGTTCTTCTGAGTTGTAATACTCCGAATAAATGCTTAAGAGCAACAGGTTACGTCCCTACACACACTTCTCCTTAAGCATTAATTTATTTCTGATGAATTTCCAATTCATCTTTAAACTTCATCACAGAAAAATATTGATCCCTAACAGACTGTAATGAAAAGGAAAATAAGGAAACTTATACAATGTCTGCTTACAGTGCTTTTATCTTATATTTTCGTATTACACTTGACAAGAATTGTTCCAATCTCACAACTTCATAGAAAGCCTAAAAGAAAACTTGTCCCAAATCTGTTGCACAAATTTGAATATGACAAATTGCTCTGCCTCTTGATACAGTAGAGTTGTTTTTCAATATTATATGCAGTTTTTAAGAAACATCACAACAAAGTTATTTAGAATCAACTGCAGGAGGTGAACTTCACTCATTGGATATATTGGATCATGCAGGCATGATCTTCAAGCAGTTTTACTGATCTAAGCACAGAGTGAAGTACAGTCAGTCAGCCAGCTGGTCTCATGGGAGTAACAGCTGAGTAACAGACTCCAGAACCAAGTCACAAATGTCAGCTAATCTGTACACAGCTTTTACTTACATGCAACTTTAGTAAAGGAGCCAAATCTTGAGCTATCTCTTAGAATGCCTGAAAATGAAAAATCAAAGTAATAAATAACAAGTTATTAAGTTGAAAAAAACATTAACTGTTCTATGAACACAAAATGAAAATTCTATTGCATAATACCAAGTGTGGTAGAGAATGTTTTTACACTTAACATTCAGAAGAATGCAAGAAAACCTAACACTGGAATTCTCCATACAATTCTAACAATCTGAGAATTAGCCCTTTAATGTCTCACAGAGTACCACTACAGTCAGTTTCATAGTCACAGAGATATTGTATTTGTTGAGCAATATAGACAGGAAGAATTTGGCTTTAATTTAAAGTTCTCCTTCTTTAGCTTGCACGCCATATTGCTTAAGATTCTGAACTCTCATGGTTAACATTATTATACCATCCTTATTAAGCAGAAATGTTTTATCTCAGCAAGTAAAAACAAAACCAGGCATATATACAGCTTACCTTTTTTGATTAAGAAACTAGTAGCTAGCATGCTTGCAGCAGCCAAAGGAAAAGCTGTGAAGAAGAGAAGTTACTTCAACACAATTTTCAATGTAATTAACAAAATGTACAACCAAATGAGAAACACTAGGTCTTATTAAATTCATTTATATGAGAATATATATGCGCAATTAATAAACTATAACAACTGTGAAACGTTCTCAATTCCAGCTTTTGAGACCTGCTACAAGTTATGCAATACAGGTTAACGTGTCATCTTGCCCTCGGCCTTCACGCTTCCTAAAATGTAAGAGCCAGTAGCAGCTGGGGTAGAGGGGCAAGGTGCTGACATCTGGCTACAGCTGCTCCAGCATCAAAACGCAACACTTCAAACCTGAAAGCATACACAGACTTTTAGAAGAGATGTTTGAATATGAGAACGTTTAAATAGTTCCAGCTCTCCAAGAGACACAAAATAATTGGATTAAAATGAGATAATTGGAAGAGTCAATCAAATCAAAGAGTCAAGCAGCAATCAAATAACAGAGCAGGTTATTTTTGTAGTTTATGGACCAAGCTACTCAGCTTTGGGGTAGGGTCAAATGCAGAGAAACCAATGAACACAGAACTGCATTACTACCTGTCACAATCTGCTTGACTGTTTGTTTGCAACAGTTTTTATCATACTGAATGACTTCAGATAGCAGGAAGCACTTTGAGATAGCAAGAAGCAAAAAGCTTTCAAGCAATTATAATATTTGGAAGATAACACTGCTTTGAAACTATTTGTAGAACTAAGAATACACAAGATATAATAACACTGAAATAATGAATGTTGACAAAGCAAAAGGTAATGGCAACAGGGACTCATAATGAAATTACATTTTAAGCAAGTCTGCAAATACAGATGTTACAAAAAGACTACACGAATTACATTAACTTGGCCTAGGGAGATCTTTTTTATTGTAAACAGCACTAAGTTCGTAGTGTTTTGAAGCCCATTAAGTTCCTATTAGAGTTCATTAAGTTCCTATATTAAAATAAACAGAATTTCAATTTTTACAACAATGCTAAAATACACATTGCAAACTGCTGCTTTTTCCTTCATAAATTCAGACAGATGTAAACTTGATTAGGAACCCAGTAAGTGCATTAGGGTAAAAATGACCAGATGTCACATGTAAGAACAAGTATGGGCTCCATGGTTTACAAGCAAGGTTAAAGCAACATTTCAAAGAGAACATAACCCTCCAATCCACTGAATATTAAAACCCTATGGTTTTAGAGATGCTAGGGCAGATCTTCTAAAAGTTCAAGTTCTCTGATATACAGAATGCCAGCTTAGATTTGAATCTAAGTTTAAAAAAAGAAAGTTACATTAAAAACCTAGCAGAACTTGTTGCAGGGGAATTCAGGGGAGTTTAACCTTCAGAGCTCAGAAATGATTTATAGGCCCAGCATAAATATTCTGGACATCAAAGACAGGTTACACATTATAGTGGAAACAAATGCTACAATGTGGGTGTACACATGACAAAATGGCAACAAGAAATTAAAACAGCGATTGGTAAACAAAAATTTTGAGTCAAACATAAAATCACCATGAATAACTATGCAGGTGTAGAAATTAAATGGAAGATTAACAAATCAGAGACCATCCTCGATGTTCACTGTGATGTGCAAAAACTACAGTGCTTAAGGAATGAAAGAAATCTTAGAAAAAACACTGGGAAGCTGGAATGTCAACAGCAGGTCATTAGTTAGAGCAGTGTAACACATCCTAGTCAAAATGGGGGAAAAGGTCCTATCAAACCTGACTCACCTCGGTACCGGGCGCTCTCTTCAGCGCACTCCTTGAGGAGCCTCCGTTCCTCTTCTGTAGGCACATAGTGCTTAGGGACTGTGTTCTTTCGTTGGGGAAAGCAATGAAAGAAAGAGCAAAAAGATTTAGGGGGATTCTTCAACTAAAAACTTGTGACTTTCAGACCTCATAGTGCCCATACTTTGACGTAGCTATGATGAAGAAGCTAGCACCTTCCTGCCTATGAACGTCACAAGAAAAAAACAAAAACAGAGAAAAAAAATACTTCTGCAAAACAGATTAAAAGAGAGAAGATTCAGTGTGTGCTCAAACCCAGACCATTCCCTTTTCCTGGGAAAGGCAGCCTTGGACTCTGCAACCTGCCTCCTGATTTAAGGAATTTGGACAGCTCACTGAACATCTTACGTTTTGTCAGGGCTGCAACACGACGACACGGGTGCGTTCGCACTAGCACCCAGCACGACCGGGCCGCAGCTGCGAGATGCCCGATAGAGGTATGCCCTACAGCCAGGGTCTGAGGTAGAGACACCCGCCGTCCCTGCGCGTTCCGCCGAGGCCCGAATCTGCGGCGAGGTGCCAAGGGCGATGACGAGCAGGCCTCAAGGGCACGGCGGGCGGGAGAGCACGGCACGGCTGACCCAGGGGCCGGCCGGAGCCGTACAGGGCCCGCCCGCAGCCTGACCGCCGTGCACGCGTGTGAGCGAGGGGCCGCGGCCTCACGCCTCGCACTTAACGGGAACTCCAGTCCCACAGGACCCCACAGCTCTCGGGGCCTCCGGGACCGGCCCCGCCAGACGCGCTCCCGTACCTCAGGCGGGTCGCCGAGCTCCCTGCCGCCGGGACCCTGCCCGGCCTCCATGACGGGGCGGGGGCAAAGCGAACCCGGACGGGCGGCACCGGGAGAACGGGGACCGGAAGTTCCCTGACGCCCCTCCGCCAGGCGCAGCGGCCGACCCGGAAGTGAATGCGGGACACCGCGCAGGCGCCGCAGGGTCGAGCCCAGTGCAGGGCCTGGAAGCTGCTGGCCTGGGGCGGGTGGCAGGCTGTAGGCTTTGGGAGCTCTTCGGGTCAAGGCTTCCTGCCTCCGGCCTCGCGGTTCTGCTGCGGAAACAGGAAAGGAGGACGGGAGAGCCTCGTGTCGGTGTGGCAGTGCGCTGCCTGTGCCTGCTTCGCAGTTTTCTCGTTATTATTATTTTTTTCCCTTGATGTGACGGCTGGGTGCGGGCGGTGCGGCCGCCTCGCATGAGCAGGCGGGACGCAAAGCATTAATTTCAATAGAGAACATTTCCTTCCTGTGCCTTATCTTGTTTCCTGCCTTCTTAAAGAGTGCCACCCTCTAATAAATGTGAGCAGGCACAGCTCCAGCAGTGGCGAGTCCTGTAGAGGTAATCAGTACGTGGCTGTTCTCCTTTTCACAGTGTCGGTGTTCACGTTATTAGTGCCAGGCTCCTCGCTTGGCTGCATGCAGGGTTCCCCTTTATTTAAACGTAGCCCGAGGAGGAGCCTGGCAGGCAGCTGCCTGAGCTTGGTGGTGATGATGGTGCTGGAGCATGTTTAGAAACAAGAGTCTGCAGGCCTCTTGTTCAAATGGTAGTGATAGTGAGTGAGTGCTGATTATGAGAAATCAGGAAAAGCTGGAGGAGGAGGGGGGAGAAAGATGTTTCTGATAATGTGGTTCGCGCTGAAAAGCTATCTTGTAAACTATCAGTACTGCTGCTCCAATTCTCGGTGCAGTGTTATGCCTCTACTTGCCTGGAATGCACCACTCCCTGCCAGCCATCCCTGCAGCCAGCCCTTGTCTCTGAACCCTGGAATTCAAGTGAAGAGACTTAAATTGCTGCTGCCTGATGACTGTACAGAAAAAGCCTGTGCCTGAAGATAGGAAATCCAAGGTTTAGAGGCTGAAGGTGTTAGAAATCAGCAGGGAATGTGTATGCAAAGTATCTGAAATTAGTACGGAATGTGGCAATGCTTTGTGAGCATGTAAGGACCCAGAATAAATGGGCTGAGGAGTGTGAGAAGTGATAGAAGTGACTGCCTGCAGGGTTCTGAGTGTCATAGCAAAAAAAAAAGCTTTAGAGGAGATGGGTTTCTGAATTTGGATTCTTGAAATAATCTGAGAAGGTGGAGCCAAGGAGCAATGTTTTTAGTTTTCATGCTAGAATAAGTAAATTACCAGTTTGCATGAGGTTTTTCTGCCTGATGACGCAGATTAGTTCCAACCTTTATCTCTGCTTATCACCTGAGCCTGACATTATTAAACACTCATTGACATTGACACCTGAATGTCAGGTATGAATACTGTTCATCCCAAAGCAAAATAACTTCATCTCATGAATTCGCAATATTTTTATTTATTTAATGCATTTCTAAAGGCAATTTATTTAATGCTTCTTCCCATTCTAGGTAAAGATAACAATTTGTTGTTAAAGCTTGCATTTTTTTTTTGTAAGGGAGGATGTGCTTATGGACTGTTCCTTCTCTTGCCATAGAGCTTCAGATGGGGAGGAAATGCCTCCCTGTCTCCTTTGTTAAAGAAAATAATTACACTTTTTTTCTTTTTTTTTTTTGTCTCATAAAATTAATACTTTTTCATTCAATTTCCCCACTTCACTATTCCCAAATTCCTTTATTTTATCTTTGAGTTTTCTGTCTCTCTTCTCATTTTAGATGTAATAGAACTCGCTTATCCATGACTATAAGCTTTTTATCTTTTAGGACTTAATGTTGTCCCAGAGTGATGATACCAGTGATACCAAGAATGAACTTTAGACTAATAAGATTATTTTTAAATGAACTGATTTCTTATGTACTGAGAAGATGGCAGGTGTGAGAATCAGTTGCTTTCTAACTGTGGTACTTTGTAAAACAGAGTTACGGGGCTCAAGCACAGGCACATCACTGTCTGGAGATGCTGCTGTTGCTCAGCTGTGGACAAAAGAGTGGAGCACAACAGCTGGGACTGCTGATTCTTGGTCGCAGGTTTGCGCTGAGAACAGCTGCTCCTAAAGAGGAACGAAGGTTTTTCTATCCAGAGTACTGCTGAGGCCGCTGTGGCTGGTGACAAACGAGTCAGTTTCTTGGTGCTTCACACGCTTCGTTGTGGCACATCAGTGAGAACCGACAGCGGGCGTCTGTAGAGCCGTTACGTACAGCCTCAATTAGTAAGGAGCTTACCCGCGTTGATAATAAGCGGTACTGCAGCGTGCTGCGTAAATCACTCCACAAGCTGATCCTTGGGGTTACATAGTAAAGCAGGCAAGTAATCAGCTGGGAAAGGGGAGAACCTCGCTGCTGAACACGAAGACAGGCGGCTTTCCGAGTGCCGCGGCGGCCGCGGACCCTTTAGCAGCCAGGCCGAGGGCGGCAGTGGGCGCTCGTCGCGGGGCGGGACTGGCCGCCGCCTCAGCCTATCGCCACAGTATGAGGCTGCCGTGCGCGGCATTTTGATTGGCCGAAAGGCACGCCGGGGGGCGGGGCCTCAAGGGCGGGCTCGGCCACACGGAGCCAACGGGGAGGGGGCAGAGGGGCGGTGCCGCGTGAGTGCTGCGCTCGCGCCCCAGTGAGCGGCGGTTCCTGGTGGGGCGCCGCGCGCCAATGGGCGGCGGGGGGGCGGGAGGCCGAGCCGGGCCGTCGAGTTACCGGAGGGGAGCGGCGGCGGCGGGATAAAGCAGGCGGCGTGCCCGGTGGCGCTCGCCTCCCGACGGCGGCGCTTTGTGGGGCGGCGCGGCGCACTCGAGGCGGCGGTACTCGGGCTCGCGGCAGGAGCGGTGAGGTGGCGACGGGACCGCGGGGAAGGGGGGGGAGGGAAGGAAGGAGGGACCGCTCCGACGGAAACGGGGCGCGAGGGCGGGCCGTGCGCCCGGGCCAGGTCGCTTTGTTTACGGCGGGGAGGGGGCGCAGGACGGAGGTGGGCGCGGGACGGAGGCGGGCGGCCCTTGGCGGAGCCGCCGCGGTGTAACGGCGCCCCGCCGCCTCTCTCCGTCCTTCCTTTCTGACCGCGCCGCGCTTTTCCCGCTCGTCTTCCGCTGCCCGGGTGGTGTGGCGGCGGCCCCGGGGCCGGTAGGCGCTCGGCCGGCTTCTCGGGCCGAGGTTCTGCGCTTCGCGGTGACCGTGCGGCGGCGCCGGGGGCATCGGCCCCGAGCCGGGCTTTGTTCCCGGCCCCGCCCCAGCAGGCGGCAGCGGTGCCGGGCCGTGGGCAGCGCGGGCGGAGCTCGCTCCAAATCCCGGTAGCGCGGCGCGGCGGCAGGCCCGAGCCTGGTTCGGACCTCCGGTTCGTTTTCTCTCTCGCGTTGTGCTGCCCGTGTGGCTGTAGGTGCGGCGGGGGCTCGGCCGCATTCCCTGCCCCCGCCCGCTTTCATGTCTGTACTTCCTCTACTTTGGTTCTGTGATAGCTCTGTTCGGCTGTAACAACGCTCGGCAAGCAGCAGCTCGGTTTGTGTTTTAGCCAGAAATCCGTGGTTCAGTAGTTCCTGCTCGGATGGGAGGCAGAAAACGAAACAAAGCAAAAACTGCATTCTGAGGGTCTCTGAAGCTGGGAAGTTGTCAGAGCCGTTTGTTGGCTCTGCTTTGAGCAGCAGTCCAGAGGTGAAAGAGAACCTGGGCTTCTATCTCCTCAGAACCAGAGACCTGAGCGCATGTGGGAGCATGCACAAAAGATGTGGGCTCTTCTGTACTCATGTGCTGACATCCCCCTGAGCTCTGGCTTCACGCATTGCAAAGGATGTATCTATCAGGTGATAAGGCACTGAAATGAGGCTAGAAATAGTGAATTGTCGGTTGGTAGGTTGGTTGCTGACCTGGCCAAAAAGATCCATGTACGTTTGCAAGAACAATGTAGTGTGGAGCATGTGGAGTGCTGTGCTTTGTGAGGTGGTTCACTGAGTGAAGTTACCTGTAGCTATTTAAGAAGTTCCTGCAGTGTGCCTTTTATAGGTTCCCCACTGTTGCTGTGGCACTGAGAATGCACTCCAGCGCTTCAGAAGCACCATGGAAGCATGAACAAGCAGTGGGAAACCACACATTGCTTTGTCTTGTGATATATCACAGGAAGAAAGCAAACCCCAGGTAAAAATGGCATTGCAGGCTTAGTAAGTCGAGTGCTTAGAGGTGAGAACAATGTTCTGTGTCAGAAGCTTGTTTTGTTTGTAGGGGCTCCTGGAGGCTGTTGGCTGGTAGTATGTGATGGCAGTGCCCACTCAGAAAGCAGGGTGGTGGTACATTGCTTTGGGATGCTGTCGCAGAAAAATGCCACTGAGCTTTGTTTAAAAAAAAAATAAAATGTTTGGTTCTTCAGGATGAATTTAAGGTTGAGGTACTGAACTAATTTCACTTCTTTGTTTGACTGAGCTAGAGGAGCACAGTCACAGCTGACGGTCATGTCGTAGCGTTACATCCTTCAGGAAGGAGATGGAGGGCTGCAGTAATACAGGGTAACAATGAAAATGTCTCAGTTGTTCACACTGCAGTATTAACGCCTTGCCAGTGTTGTTCTGCTAGCCCTGAATGACTCAATAGTTGTTCTCAAATGTTTTTTTTTTTTCCCCACTGTAAATGTCTTTCTAATTTTTGGGGTTAAAATTAATTGATGTGCAGAAAGTTTTTGCTAATACAATTGAGAACACCCTGTCTGTATTTACTTTTTCTAAGAACTTAAGAAGATTATAATTAAACCCAGCTCCCATTGGCTACGTATTAAAGAAACCAACTTGGAAAACAGGGTGTTCCACGTTAGAAATTGCCTGTTTTGTATCTACTTTTGTACTTCAGGGAGTTTTATCTTGGTCACTTTGGCTGGTGGCAGCTGGTTCATTATGGCACAAAGGGCTAAATGTTTTTTTTTTTTAATCTGAGCACTGTAAGAGGCATGCAGGCAGACTGTACACTTCAGTGGACTCGTGTAATCCAGATCATGAGTATAGAATGTGCTCCCTCTGGTGTAGAGAGCCAT